GGACTAAGCTTGAAATTTGTGGCAGAATTTTCAAAATGTTTAAAATTTTGGCACAACAAATTTGGTGGACGTCTTTCGCGAACACTTCAGGAATTATGAGTATTCTATACGTATTCTACCTGTGTCCATACTGACTGGTGCGTGCCAATGCCCGAGTGACACGCATGTTTACGACTAGTTCACGATGGATTTACGAATAAATTGCTCATAATTTGTGCATCGGCTGCGGATACTTCCCGCAGTTTTCACATTACTTGCACACTGTCTACGCACAGAAAATTAAGGAAAACAGGAAAAGAAAAAGTGACCGCTGAAAGCATCTTCTCCTTCTTCTTCAAGATAATCTGCCTCCTTCAATACTGAAGATTCTTGCAGATGCCGTATACTCGGCCTGATTGGGGTGTGCAGGTGGACCATTACACCGGTGTTTCCCCCTACTCTTATACGAAAAGTGCATGGGTTCTTAACGTGCATGGGTGGTGACTCTTTGTACACGGGACCTCCATTTAACATCCTATCCGAAGAACGGAGTGTTTTCCACTTGACATAACCTGCGTCTATGAACAAGGGAAGGGGCCCTTTAACACACAATGCAGACATCAGTCATCCGCCTCGGCGGGAGTCGAACCAGGGATCTTTGGTTCGACAGGCAGATGCTTTACCGATTGAGCCAACTCGCCTCCTCACTGCACTGCTTGAATATTAATGGCGTGAACAATATTTAAGTATGGCGTATATGCAGGAATAAAAATTTGTGGAAGTTTCAGGGTGGCTAAACTCTTATTTGACTTAGTCTAAACTCTAGTTTAAAATAAAATGAATAGTAGTCTAGAATCTAGTGAGTGACAACCATGACCATGCAACACCATGCATGCATGCATGCATAGATCTAGATCTAGATCTACAGTACACGCCGAAAATCTCCGCAACACGATTTACACGATTCAAAATTTACACGATTCGACTGCTCGCGGGAATCGTGTAACCATTTATTTTTACACGATTCGTTTTTTGCCAATGAAGCGAAATTTGAATCGTGTAAACGTGTAATCGTGTAAAATTACACGATTCCTCAATTCAGGTCGAATCGTGTAATCGTGTAATCTGCCCGCCGAAAATCTCCGCAACACGATTACACGATTCAAAATTTACACGATTCGATTGCTCGCTGGAATTGTGTTACAATTTATTTTCAGTGGTGATGGTGAGCAGGTTAAGGACGTCTAGTTCAGTAAAAGCAAGAAGTTACTTCTTGGTTGAACGAGGACAACGTGGACGATACGAGGGGATAGCGAAGATTACGCTTTCTTTCTCTTGTATATATTTTTAATTGCAGTGTCTTGTCTCTAGTTTTATTATAGAATGTTTGAAAGTTAAAAAAATCAGTCCACTTCCCGAAAAGCACTCTCGGATTTAATCCTCGGTGAGAAAAAAGAAAAAAGCGATGAACGACGAAGGAAGGGGGCAATTTTGTTATTCCTAAGTTGTAAATAAGTAAAAATGATTACAACATGTAAAGGAGGGCTAACATAATTAAGTATGTTGTGATACTCTTACATTACAAGGCTGTACCAATTAGAATTACGGTTCACCAGCTCATTCGTTACTATGAATATCGTTATACTTTTTTTTATTCAATCATTATCCATTTTACAAACCTGGTTTGTAAAAACGCGTCATATGACGCACGAAAACCAAGGTTTGTCGACAAACCTCCTTTGTGAATTCGGGCCTTAGACTTTGATCACTTATTGCTTTTTTAGCGTTCCTCATTTTCGTAAATTACCTTTTACAACATTGCATTATTCAGCTATATGTATAAAGAGCTACGGTCAAGGCTTAAGGGCACACTTCCTGTCACATACAAAAGAAGCTTACTCTGAATGTGGCCTGCCATTGACCCTCGCCGGGGACAAAGGCCGTTGCCCTAGCTACAGGCAGAGATCCTTACATAATACATATTGTTCAGGGGGTTCCCCTCGAACATAGGATCCCCCTGGACAAAAGGTATTACATGACTGTACGTAAGTATGTAAGCCACTGGCTACAGAGTGTAGGGAACAGTTGCAAGCCGAGAATGAATAGAATAAGTGAATGGCCAACTGTCTTTGAGTTACGTTTAGCTAGCGGCACAGTGTCCCCCCACTTTTTCAAGTTCCCCCAAAGTGCCCCTTTGTATGTAGGAAAAGTACCTATTTTACTTTGACAAGTGTCCCTATTAATTTGTAAAAGTGCCCCTTCCCCTTTTCAACTCTGATAAGTGCTCCTTTTCTTTTGACACACACCCTTTTCCTTCGACGAGTTCCTATATTCCTTTACAATAAGTGTCCATTTTCCATTCTCATTAGTGTCCTTTTAATCTCTAGTAAGTATCCCTCTTTAAGTACGAGAAGTGCCCCTCTTCACTTTTGATAAATGCCCCCATCAACTCCGATAAATGCCCCTATTAAAATCTGATCGGTGCCCCTTTTCTTTCAACTAAAGCTTTTTTTTTTATCTCTCTCTCTCTCTCTCACTCTCTCTCTTTCTTTCAATATCTTTCCATTCCCCCATATCTTTCTCGCCTCTCTTTCCCTCATTATGTTCCCCTCTTACCTTATTAATTTGTCTCTTTTCCTCTCTGTTTCATAGCCTTCTCATTTCTGTTAATTTTACTAGGTTTCGCCCTTCTTTTTTTTATCACTCTATTTCACTCTTTCTTTTCTTCCGGTCAACTTTTTAGTTTTCCCTAATTTTTTCTCTCTTTTTTTCTGTTTATTTTTATCGTGCCTTTCAATCCTCATTTTCCTTTTATATGTTCCCTTCTCCTCGTAGCTATCTTTTTTCCTTTACTATTTCATCTATCATGTCTTCCTGTTTCTGACGTTTTCCTACCTTGTCTCACGGATTAGTATATGATACATGTTAGTGGAAAGTGCTAAGGTTTATACACGAATATAAAGTACAGTAATTAACTGATGTACACTGAAGGTAAGTTGTGTATAAAGCAATTGGTGTAAGCAGGATAAGATTCAACGATTGTTGCAGCTTGTCGCATCGTTCTATCAATGCCCTTATACCCTAATAACTATTTACACGATTACACGATTCAGAGCGACATTCTTCAATCGTGTAAATTTACACGATTACACAGTTACACGATTGTTACATCTGGTCGAATCATCCCACCAATGCACTTAACTATTTACACGATTACACGATTCAGAGCGACATTCTTCAATCGTGTAAATTTACACGATTACACAGTTACACGATTCAGGTGAATCGTGTAAACCCTGTAATCCTAAAAATAAATCGTGTAATCGTGTTGCGGAGATTTTCGGCGTGTACTGTAGGTCTAGGCCTAGTACAATTAATTTCAACAGTTAATAGTCTACCCATATTTTTAAAAAAATAGGGAAATGACAACACATTAGACTTAGATTTAAGATTCATAGTACGAACAATCGTCCGTCTCGACTTGGACCTATATTGTCCATTGTCCATTGAAATTGATTTTATCTAAATCTCTAGATTTACTAACATTTAAATCAACAGGTGGGACAATCAGAGTTTTGAGTTCGAAATATCTGCTTAAATGTGTTATAAATTGGTATAATTTAAGCAGCGACTTCAGATTTTCATCAAATTCATGCATCTAATCTCATAAAAGTCCAACTAGGTACACGAAACACAGTTTACTTACCAATTTTTACATCCCGTTCAGACGATGCTACAGATTCGACGGTTCATCGTCTGCTAGAATTGAAGGAGGGCGGGTTTCATGAACCGTCGAATGCGGATTCGTCGGTTCATGCAAACGCTCCGCGCAACGTTTCGTTTTTAGTAAAAATATAAATATGTTTTTGTCAAAAAATATCTCAAATCAGCATCTGAAAATTTGTCAGTAGAAAGATTTCATAACAATCAACACAATTATGGAAAAAAAAATATTTTGAAAAATTTGCCAAAAATCGACGGATTCGACGGTTCATGTAAACGCCGACGACATATGGAGCTTGTGTATACCTCTTCAAGAAATATCTTTTAAAAATATTTACAAGTATGAAGGATATTTAATCCAATATTCCTGAATAAGATGTATTTTGTTTTTGTTGTTGGTCATGAAAGCTCTTACTTTATGCATGGCTTATTTATCAGTAATAAGTCAAAAAAATAAGAAGTAGAAGAAGGAGACAGAGAGGAGTTGGAGATTAGAAAGGATGAGCTTTAGTTGGGCTTGAGCAGCTATGTGCAACCTCTATTTAGGAATGGGTAATTAGTTCACCAGATCAACCTGCCAAAAACAAGAGACGGAGTCGTATGATAATGGCATGCTTGTTACTAATTAAACTTCACACTTCATGAAACACATCATCTCTCATTAAAATGTCTGTCAACCTGATTACTTCTGCATATTTTATCAGTGTTTTTTCATGTTCTTCAGAGACAAGCACATTTTAATGTGATGAGTGATATGAATTTAATGATTTTGTGAACATTGTATTAATTGAAAGATAAATTGGAAGTGACGTTGAGAAATGAGACATACTTTCCAATCAGTGTCAGAGACAAATGAGAAACGGGTTCCCTCAAGGAATTGTGTTCACTTGAACATACAAATTGATGCATAGAAATGTTTTCCCATGTGTACATGTCAAGTGAGAAATATAGATAGGGTTTAAAACTGATTTTCCTCCAAGAGTCTTAAAATGCCCCATTTAAAAACTGCCTGATAAAATCATCTTCCATCAACGTTGGATCACTTATCATGACATTTGTATAATATAGACATTACAGGCTTAAATGTAACATTTAAACATGTTAAAAATATTGATTACGCTATCGTGTACATTTGTATTTGTTTGTACAGTTATCCAAAGACAAGGCCGTCATCCTGGGTCAATCTGATAATCAGTTACCTCCAGCTTCGAGGCCCCGTCAATTTTTATTCCCTTGCAAAGCCTTCTTTTATAAACTAAACATTATTTCTCTCTCTCTCTTTTTATTTGCATTTTTAGGGCCACCATACATCTTCGTCCCTCCCCAAGACACGTCTGTCACCCTCGGCCAGTCGGCTACCCTCAGCTGCGAGGCCCTGTCGTCCCCTGACAATCTCACCCAGCAGTGGTTCTACGAGGGACTCCTGGTCCAGGACGTGGAGCAGCTCCAGCGGAGGGTGACGGTCTCCGCCCCCCTAGGGGAGCTCCTCATCAGGGGGACAGAGAGGGGGGACAGGGGGACCTACTCATGCACCCCTACCAACGGACTCGGGACCCCGCCCACTGCCAGTGCCTTTCTAGATGTGCAATGTGAGTATCAATGCAGTTGTATTAAAGCCCATCTGTACTAGTTTGGCTAGAAGGGATTAGACCACCCAGGAAGGTCACTGACAGGTGGTTATCTCATCAACTTAGCTCTCAATTAACATAAGAAAAAGAGAATCATGGGGACCAATGGACACTGATTAGGCATTGTTTTCTATATAGAGGGAGCAAGCAGCTGCAAGTGGTATAGTGGGTTTGAGTCAAGGGGTTTATGGGCTCTATAAACAACCAAAACAACCAAACCCAACTTGATGGAGTAGGAGGTGGGAGGGGGGGGGGGAACAGATGATAAACATTATTTGTAGAAGGTCCTAGGTCCTAATGATGAAAATTTCACATTGATGTACATGTTAATGGATCCGTTGATGAAAATGTGGAAATCATTGTTATTATGATATCTCTCTTCGAACAAGCTAGTTCTCAATAATGAACAGAACCACTTAATAGGATAAGCCCAGGATACATTGTATTTTTAATACAAGTTTAATAGAAAATTTTGAGGTCTCATTGCGACCTAGATATTATTTCTGAATGATTATGAAAATTATTAAGTACAGTGACCCTTTCGCCTCCTTCAAATTCATTCAAAAATTGCAACCTGTTTAAGGCATGAGAATATTCCAGAATGGTTTTAATTATTCTGCAGTAATTCAGATATGAAAAGTACACTGTCTATGAAGAATCTGTGATGCTTGAATTTGTAGTGATTATTTTTATAATGCTCATTACTCGAAGAAAGTACAAATGTTACAACGACCTGTTTTGGAGAGCAATTTTCCATCGGCTCGCTTCATTCTTAGTCACACTTTGCTCATTATCTTGTAATGACTCTCGACGAACAAGCCGGCAGTTAATGACTTTGCCATGCTCCCCGCTTTTCATTCTCCAGATGCTGCCCAAGTAGTTTCCATGCCAACCGAAGTGTATGCAACTCGAGGAGAGGATGCGATCATCCCGTGCAATACCAGTTCCAACCCCGCCCTTCTCTACGCCATATGGAGGAAAGATGAGGCGGAGCTTCGAATCACTCAGACCAATAGGTCGGTATCCAAAAATCCAGACATATTTAAAACTTACATTTTGCCAGAAAAGTTTATATTTAAACCAGAAATTAATACCAGGAAATGGGAGGAGCATATGTATATGTGTGCGAAAGACATCAGCGGTGGTGTTGACAGAGTCGCTGCTGTCGGCTTGGTAAAGATTATCTGAATTGATGAAAAATTGGAACAAGTTTATGCACGCTGTGAAAGTTGTTCTCAGAACAACAGATTAGTCCCAGAAAAATTGAAGATGATAATGGGGCAACTTGAAAATGAAGAGAGAGGAAGGTTTACTATAGTGACATAAAGGGAAAGGTAAACAATTATCTGTAAAAATAGGAATCGAGTGATCAGGGGCCATTTTCTGATTTCTTTGTACCAGTATTCTTTATGTTTAATAGGGAAAAGGGTGTTAATTGTCATAAAAAACTGAATCTGCATGAACTGAACACCTATCATTGGTGCTTGCATGGATGTTTCTTTTATAAAATGAAACCAATAACTTGTCCTGATTTTGATTTTGTATTTATTTATTTGTTATTTATTTATTGATTTGATTTATTTAAACAGGGTGACTCTCTCAGTATCAAAACAGTTTTCCTGAGAGGCCCTGTACAAATTAAAGGTTACAAATACAGAGGAAATTGATCACAGTTTAAATACATAATACCATATCAGGGATTATTTGTTTTGAAAAAGAAAAAGAAAGTAGATATTTGATAATTAACATTGTTTTACTAAAACATAAAATAATTTTTAAAATACCATTCCTAAGGTGTAAAATTACTTGCATGAATTAGATTTTTGAGGCACAACTGTGACTGGAGTTAAACTGATGAAAGATGATTCATTGGTCATATAACTCTGATATCAATATTGTAGGGGCCTTGTGCCAAGCGTACAAATTAAAATGTCTGAAGAAAAAAATTGTATCACCTTTTCATTGTCTCTTCGAATTTTTGATGATTCTATCTTTAGGTATTCAATAACCGAAGAAGGTTCGCTTGTATTAGGGGTTGCAACACTCAACGACCAAGGCTCCTATACCTGTACACCATACAATGACCTTGGTACAGCGGGTCAATCTACTCCAACTCGTCTGATTGTAATAGGCAAGTTTTTTTGTTGTCCTGTCCGATATGTTAATGAAATTACAATATCTTTCATTTTGTTTATCTTACATTTACAGTTATATCAAATTTGTGCTACACTTGTATTGACTACTTGTGTCTGTAGGCTCTTTCACCTTTGTTCATCCCATGTAAAATTGTAATTACTGGTACCATTTTTTTTCTCTCTCTCTCTCTCTCTCTCTCTCTTTCTTTTTCTCTTTCTCTACATTTCTTTTGCTTTCACTGTATGTCTGTTATGCTGTTTCTACACTCCCCCTTCTCTCTCTCTCTCTCTCTCTCTAAGTTTTTTTTTGCTTTCACTGTATGTCTGTCATGCTGTTTCTACACTCCCCCTTCTCTCTCTCTCTCTCTCTCTACGTTTTTTTTTTGCTTTCACTGTATGTCTGTCATGCTGTTTCTACAATCCCCCTTCTCTCTCTCTCTCTTTCTTTCTCTATGTCTCTTTGGCTTTCACTGTATGTCTGTCTTTCTGTTTCTACACTCCCCCTTCTCTCTCTCTCTCTCTCTCTCTCTCTCTCTTTTGCTCTCTCTCCTGCTTTTTCTTGCTTTCCTAAATGCCTTTGCTTCTTGTGACATACCTTTTACCATGATCTTTTACGCTAATTTTTGTACAATATTGGTAGTTGCCTTCAGGATTAACAAACGTATTCTTGTTTTGCTATAATGTATACCATTCCAGATATTTTTAGGCTTTTAAAGCTTAGTGCTTGGACATGATCACCTAGACTAGTCCTAAAAGATATTTTGCAACATATTGCCAACTCTGTTTCTCTTTTGTCTTGTCCAGATCCACCAGAATTCAGTATTCAACCCGAGCCGATGTATGAGAAGTCTGTGGATGACTCAGTGTCCATGCCATGCACAGCTACAGAGAGTGCAGTGGACACTACGCTAACATGGAGAAAGGTAGGATTGATCTGTTTCTCTCTCTCTGTCTGTCTGTCTCTTTCTATCTCTCTCTCTCTCTCTCACTCTGTGTCTCTATCTTTCTGTCTGTCTCTCTGTCTCTCTTTCTCTGTCTCTCTCTCTCTCTCTCTCTTTGTCTTTCTCTCACTCTATCTCTCTCTGTCTCTTTCTATTTTTCTCTTTCTATCTCTCTCTCTAACTCTGACTCTCTCTCTCTCACTCTCTTTCTCTGTCTGTCTGTCTGTCTGTCTCTCTCTTTGTCTCTCTGTCTCACTCTATCTCTCTCTGTCTCTTTCTATTTTTCTCTTTCTATCTCTCTCTCTCACTCTGACTCTCTCTCTCTCTCTGTCTCTGTCTGTCTCTCTCCCTCTCTCTCTTTCACTGTCTCTCTCTATGTCTGTTTGTCTCTCTCTCTCTCTCTCTCTTTGTCTCTCTCTCACTCTGTCTCTCTCTCACTCTATCTCTCTCTCTCTGTCTGTCTCTTTCTATCTCTCTCTGTATGTATGTCTGTCTGTCTCTCTCTCTCTCTCTGTCTCTCTTGATCTTTCTCACTATTAATATTACCCTTTGTCTGCCACTCTCCCTTTTCATGTTTGTCCTTTTACTGTTCTGCCAGCTTTTTCATTTTTATTTTTCAATAACTATTATACATATGTTTTTAATAATGATTGTGCAAGAAATGAATTATCTCTTTCTTGAGCACATTCGCCCGAATTCACAAAGGAAGTTATTTAATCCATGGTTTAAATCTTCATTTACATAACCCATGGTCTAAAATTAGCGCAAAATAAGCGCAACACAGTCAAGAGGTCCAATATTAGACTCGCGCAAGGCAAGGTATGCTTATTTTGCGCTAATTTTTAAACCATGGGTTATGTTAATGAGGTTTTAAACCATGGTTTAAAGGGGAAGTCCACCCTGAAATTAAGTTAGTTTTAATAGGAGTAGAAAAATGAGAGAAACAAGTCGGTGAAAGTTTGAGCAAATTCCGATTAAAAATAAGGAAGTTAGGAATTTTGAAGTTGTGATCAATCAAACACAAATTGGCAACTCTATGACGTATCATGCGAGCTCAACTTCCATTTGCTCAGTACTAAAAAAATCTAAAATTTTCATTTTCCCTCAATAAAAATTTCAACCATACATGCACCCTAAATATAATAATTGCAAATATGTTTCTATACTCCCCCTGCAAGGAACAAATATATATTCCGTCATCAATAACGAAGAAAACATGATTTTATGGAATATTATGCACAAAGCAAATGAAGGAGAGCTCGTATAATAAGTCACAGAGTTGCCGATTTGTATTTGATTGATCACAACTTCAATAATTCATAACTTTCTTATTTTCATTCAGAATTTGCTCAAACTTTCACTCACCTGATTTTCTTATTATTCTGCCTCTATCGAAACAAACTTATTTTAGGGGTGGACTTTCCCTTCAAGTTTTAAAAACCTCCTTTGTAAATTTGACCTGTTGTGTAAATATAAGGTTTTTTTTTATGATGACATCTGTTATATTTATGGATTTAATTTTTGCTTCATTGTTCAGGTGAATGGAGACCTTTCTATCCGAGCGTTCATCACGGAGAATGGTCTAGACATCATGAAGATAAGCAAAGAAGACCATGGAACCTACGAATGCATGGCAACCAATCAGGTTGCCACGGTGATAGCATCAGCAGATCTTATCGTCTCTCGTAAGTTTCATCATGGCACATGTCCTTGTAGGATGTTTGAATGCTCTTTGAAATACTGCTATGAATGTGTAACTATGTCTTTGAGTTATCACATTGATGTGAATTCATATAACTACTGGGGTATGTCTATATACTACTAGCAAAACATATGAGCAGATAATGGTTTAACCTTTGAAAATGGGAAACCATACAACTGGAAATTCTTGACTGAATATATTTTTTGATCCATGTTGTTTATCATATCTTTTTTCGAGAGCCAGAAGGGAAGTAACTTGTTATATTTGGTATTATTTACCTTTTTTCCTTTTCTTCTCAGACTTCAAGCCAAAAGCTCTCAATAGCTCTCAATGATATGACCCAACCCCCCCCCCCCCCCAAAAAAAAAAAAAAAAAAAAAATTGTATATATATATTTTATGTGTTCTCAAACAATTTTTTTTAAACACAGATGCAGTTAAGAAGTGTGTCAGTTGAAGCATACATGTACATGGAGTCAACATTGAGAAGACATGTATCTTTATACTTTGCTTTTCCATTTTTCCCCATTTTACATTTGTCACAGCTACAAGCCCACATACTCCTACCAACGTTGCCGTGGTAACCAGCTCAACATCCGCATACATCTCATGGGAGGCTGGCTATGATGGCGGAGGGACACAGACATTTGCAATCAGGTTAGTGTTTTGTTATTTTCTGTAGCATGGTGATAGCAGAGAGCTCTGCACAGAGAGAGAGAGAGAGACAGACAGAGAGAGACAGAGAGTCAGAGAGACAGATAGAGAGAGACAGACAGACAGACATAGAGACAGACAGACAGACAGAGAAAGAGACAGACATAGAGACAGAGAGAGACAGACAGACAGACATAGAGTCAGAGAGACAGATAGAGAGAGAAAGACAGACAGACAGACATAGAGACAGACAGACAGACAGAGAGACAGACAGAGAGAGAAAATGACAGACAGACATAGAGACACAGAGAGACAGACAGACAGAGACAGACAGAAAGACAGACAGACAGACATACAGACATAGAGTCAGAGAGACAGATAGAGAGAGAGAGAGACAGACAGACATAGAGACAGACAGACAGACAGAGAGACAGACAGAGAGAGAAAAAGACAGACAGACATAGAGACACCGAGAGACAGACAGACAGAGACAGACAGAAAGAGAGACAGACAGACAGACAGACAGACATAGAGTCAGAGAGAGAGAGAGAGAGAGGGACATAGAAACAGACATAGAGATAGAAAGACAGAGAGAGAGAGAGAGACAGAGAGAAAGAGATACATACATAGAGAGATACAGAAAGACAGACAGACAGACAAACAGATATAGAGACAGAGAGAGAAGAATGAAAGAATTGGGACATACCGTAGGAGGATGCAAAAAGGCCATATGCATTGATAGATATATACAATAACCTAAAAGCATCCACTTTTCTTTCTTCTAATGATGAACAATATGTTAATGGTTTTGTACTACATAACTTAGATTAAATGGAATCGTGCACTTTTGTTCATCTCCTGCACTTTCCTCATCTCCCCCTTCATCTAGGTACCGACCCATGGGTACCACTGCTGGTCTCTGGACCACCATCCACCCCATCCCAGCTACATACATGTCCATGCTGATGTACAGTCTCACACCCAGTACGGTGTATGAGTTTACAGTGACAGCCAGCAATGATCTGGGTGCGAGCGAGCCCAGTGATACTGTGACTGCTACAACCAAAGGTAAGGGTGATGCCACCGCCCCCCCCCCCCCCCACTGAGTGTTATTTAGGGTACTCATATGCGTGTTCTCAGCACCTTCCCCCCCCCCCCCCCCCTTTCAGCAAAAGTCCAGTGTGTAAAGTCAATACGGGTAGACCTTTCTCTTTTGTTACGAGCCAGAAATTTTGGGAACACGCATGGTATCCCTCCGTTCCCGGAGTGGGGGGGGGGGGGGGCGGGGGGCGGGGGGTGATGGTGATGGTTGTGATGATGATGATGATGATGATGATGAGGATGGTGATGATGATGGTGATGGTGATGATGATATTGGTGATAATGATGATGATGATGATGATGATGGTGGTGGTGGTGGTGGTGGTGGTGGTGGTGGTGATGGTGGTGGTGGTGATGGTGATGATTGGTGATGATGATGATGTTGATTATGATGATGATGAGAATGATGATTGATATAAATTTCTGAGGTGATAATAGCATCTCTGGTCCTAGAAACAAGGGGGACAATCTCTTTCACTGTGATAAAGATCCTCTTGATGAATACAAGACTGATAATGATGTATTAATAATGATGATGAGAATAATTTAGATATGTCTTCTTATTTCAGATCCTGCTCCCTTCGTTCATCCTACCGATTCTACAGGTGCTACAGTAGTCCCTCCACCAGAAGGTATGTCATGCTGCTTGTGTAGAAATTGTGTAAAAATGTTTAGTGTTACTTTTCATAGAATGCTTTTCTGCAAGACTCGGCTTCAATCATTTTGTGTAATTGATTTGTCATATTACTTTCAGGTTTTACAAATTTAGATATTGCCTAGGAAGATTTGTTTTCTTTAGCTTTGATATTGATGCCAAATTGTGGGGCAGTCATGCACTACATGTATAGCACAGAGAAGCGACCGGAATACCCTGTTTTTCTGGGAACTGCACATAACCTTTTCTTGATTTTGTAGCAAACAACTGAAAGTGAGTAAGATTTTGTTAAATACATGTTGAGGTATAGATTACACCATATATCATCATATTATTTGAATTAAATGATATAAATAAAACCCTCTCTTTTTTTCTTTTTTTAAAGATATTAAGCCATCCCCACCCCAAAACGTGACCCTGACGACCGGGGAGGATGGCCTCTACCTCTCCTGGCTTCCCCCATCCCGCTGGTCCGACTACGTGGACCACTACGCCATCGAGTACCGCATCGTTGGACCGTGGCTTATCCTTGAGGATAGGATCAGTGTGGACGACACCCAGGTGCTTCTCAGGAATCTCCAACCGAACAAGACGTATGATTTCCGTGTGTTTGCATTCACGGTGGCCACCTTCAGCGATCCGAGTATGATAGTGGTGGGCGATACTAGAGGTAAGATGGCTGTCATTTTGGAACATAGCTAGTTTTTATCTTTGAAACTTGGAAAAGTGTATAAATTTAAAGCTTGTTACAAAGAGAGATACATTAAGTGCGACGTTACATTAAAACAAAGGATAAGAAACCCATGTTTGACTCTTCATTTATTATACATCAGGGGTAATAATTCCCAAAGCTCTTTTGAAGCGCATAGAGACGTCATAATGTTATATGCACAATACAACAAATTTCAAAATTATAAGTTGTTCTCTTCCCTAGTGGCACCGAAGGATCAATAAAACTAGAATTTCTTTTTTATGCAAGATACAAGATTGTAGCCTAGGCAATACTACCTATGTTTCACTTCCAAGAGACTTCATAGTTAAACCTCGAAACATATATCAACTGAGGATTGCTTGGACATTCCAATAACCTGCTGAGAATTCTCTCTATATCCATCAGATCTTGGTGTCTACATCCCGACTCCGACCTTCCAGCCGAGATCATCGACCCCGGGCATAATCGCCGGGGTGATCGGCGGTCTCTGCTTCCTCCTCATCGCTCTCCTCCTCTTCACCATGGCCATCATCATCTCTCATCGGAAGAAGGAGAAGAAGAAGCGCTATTTTTTCAGTAAGTTTTTCTTCCTCCTGTGTACTTATAGGCAGATGACGGTTTTGCCATTGTTTTATGTCGTTGGCATTCTAACATACATTTATTCATGTAATGTTAAGACAGAGTATGATTTACATGTATGGAGTGGACATCATGAATCATATTAACAGAAGCGTGTTTAACATGTTGAAATATGTTAAATTTGTTGCAAATTTGAAGTCTTACTGTTTAACTTGAGTTGTAGTATTTAATTATGCACAATCAGACTATGTGACTTCTGGGACTTTCCCCCTATCATCTGCAAAGAGCCTGATGGGAATTAACTAATTTGTTCATTGTTGAATGGATTTATATTTTGTTTGAATGTTTGAGAACATGGTGCATAGTTTTAAATGGTGGATAACATGAATTGAATAAAAATTTCATAGTTAAATATTGTATTATGTTTGACTCCAAGTTTTAAAGTTATCATTAACCTATGTTCTGAAGATTCAATATAATGTTTTACATTTAACATGTACATGGCTTTATATCGAGAATGTACGTTGAATGTTTGTAGTGTCTGTGCATGTTGCATTTTGTTTTGATTGGAATGTGTTCTTTTGTGTTCCCTCCTTAGCTGCTAATGGGGGCCACGTGGAAGCCCAGCCCCATCCTCCTCCCAATAATGCCAAGTAAGTTGCGTTTCTACTAATCTTATGAATTTTGTATGCTGCTAGATATGGGGGTGTTTCACAAAGATTCTAAGTTGGACTTAAAAGTTATGGAGAGCCATTTGTAGCCTTAAAAAAAAGTATATTCAAAAGCGAAAATTCAAGTATTTTAGACTTTTTATAAATTCCACATGAAGACCATAAAATCTCCTTGTTAATATGAAATATGAATGAATTGTAACAACATATTATGCCTTCTAAATTAACTTTTAAAAAAAATTCATAGATGCTAACAGCCTTCCATAACTGTTAAGTCCAACTTAGAGATAAGTTCAACTTAGGATCTTTGTGAAACACCCCCATGGTTATTCAGTTATTTGTTGACAGATTTGTTCCTAATAATAACACTTTGATAATAATCTTGTATGTTTGGAGCCAGAAGGGCGTGAACTCTGTGATGTCAGTTGGCTCCAGACAAACGATTTCTTGATGTACAATATTATACATGTATGTATGCTTGTATCCCTCTTTTTTAAGCCTGGATTTTGCGGACCAGATATGATTGCATTTCTTCACGTATATTATTCTATTCATATCAGTACCGAACTTCTGTTCCTTCATTTCACAAATATGTGGGGTACTATTCCATGAGTATGACATCAATCAAACTAGACTTTAATACTCAAAGTTACAAAAGTTCTTATCCATGTAGTACAGTGAAACCTGCTTTAGAGATCACTTGTATAGAATGACACCTTGTCTATTAAGACCACATTTCTTGTTTCCCTTTAAAATTGTTCTCATTTAAACATGTAATAAATTAACCTGGAAACAATGACCACTTGATCATGAAGACCATTTCTCTTGCCTCCATTGAGCGGTCTTTACATACAGGTTTCACTTTTCATATTTTTTGTCACATGGAGATAGCACCTCACACATTGGTATTTAGAGTGCAAATCATCTTACAGGTAAGGTGTGACTAGTTTGTTATCGTATATTATGAGATATTTTTTATGTACTCATTTACATGCCCATGGCCTTTGTTTTATCTGTTTGAAAATCCTAACATTTAGAGCTTCTCGTCAAGTAAAGCCTTGTTTAAACAATTTTTTTTATTTTGTTTTATTCATCACAGCACTTCTGAGCCAAGGCCAAGTGCCCTCCAGAAGAGTCTTACGAAACTAAAAGGCAAGCTCAGCCCCAAGCCGAACCGCGCCTCCCCCTCCCTCTCCGACCCCTCCGCATCTGCCAATGGAAGCGCCAACGGCAGTGCCAATGGCCACCAGACCACTGCTACGCTGAGACCTCAGAAGCGCTCCCTTCGTGATCGCATCCTCAGTCGGTCGATGGACCCACGATCGGCCAGCTACAGGGTGGAGTCGGAGAGAGAGGAGGAGGAGATACCGACGGTCAGTCGTCGCCTTGACTACGAGCGGACCTCGGCCGCGCCCTCTAGAACCGGTGCTAGTGATGGAGAAGTGAATGATTTCAACGATATCACCTTGATTCCAACAAACATCAGAGAAAGTTCAGGTATGATGACGTGTTTTTTGTGAGATTAGGGTTCATGAATAAGTCTGAGGGATGCAGGGTGTTTGCTTTTTGCCTCATTCCGGGCCCTGAAACCTCTTTTGTTCAGGCTGCAGTGTTGTACAGAATGTACGGGTCACCAATATTTCTCTTTCACGATAAAACCAACTGGTATCCATTATTATATCATCTTATGGATTCTTACTAAAGGAATGTAAATTACATTTCCCTGTTCACAATTTTCCTATATTGCATGTAGATATCTAAGGACCTCAAGTGATATTTTAATTTTTGTGTAGGAGTAGAAGGTTTGTGTTCTACTCCTTACTTCAGAAAACCATGAAGCCAGAACTATTTTAAATAATTTTTTATAATTCCATGTATTACATTTTCATTCTGTTCAGGGCCAGGATGTAAAACAGATTTTGTATCTACAATGTGTATCTGATTCTTGTTATCCTGATGATAAATAAATGATATTTCAGTATTGATTCAGATAAATTTACCGCTTTTCCTTCATATTTTCAGATCAAAATGGTTTCCTTCAAGAGCTTCATCAGCATCACCGTCTACAGCAAGGTTCAGAGACTAGCTTCCCAAGTACGTCTAGCGGACGGGAAGACCAGCCCCTCACAGATCCAACTCGCGGAGGGCGACGACACCACGAACGCGGCGACTACGTCTACTACCACGGACAAATGCTTCTGAGTGCCATGAGCTCGGACGATGATTTAAGAAGCAGTAGAGAGGGTACGGTCAGTCGTGATGGGGTTGTGAGGCAGCCCAGTGAATGGGGCTCACAACCCTTGCAGACTTTCGGGCAGAAAACACCCCCGAGGTATACGCACCCACCGGAAAATCAACCAAAACAGGGAGGAAAGACACCAGACAGTCGCGGTGCTTCGCCTTGGACAGAGGATATCAGTGAGATTGGAACGAACCCGGTTTTTGACCGACAAATGCATAGACATAGTACGCGGAAGGACCTTCAAGGCGCCAGAGCTTCCATACAAAACTACTCGACGGTTATTCCAAGAATGCAAGGCTTATCGCCCAGTGCGTTGGATAGCATGAGCACAATAGCGGGGTCAGTTAGCGGTCGCAGCATCACACCGACACCTATGGAATTCCAGGAGTACCCCACGGGTGCGTCGTACGAGTTCTCCTCACAGCAGCAGCCATCGCCAGAAGTGCCACACCCCAGGAAGGCGTCGCCTTACAAGGACATGATGCGTGCGAGTGCGGACGTGTACAGCGATCCAAGCATCGTATCCGTAAGCCCGCTTGGTTCGCGGGACTTCACCGGCACGGGTTACCAGAGCCCGTACGACACGGACGCGCAGCAGTCGTCGCGCTTCGGATCATACGCACACAGTGACGTCTTCTCCCCACCCGCTGGTGATAGGACATTTGGGTATACTGATGACGGTTATGATGCATCACGAGATGTGAGCAATTACCAAAGAACTCGGAGCTTGCAGAGAGGAGAGGAGGGTGATGTCAGGTTAGAAGATAGTTCAGGTCGGAGGTCGATGTCACCGAGGTCAGTGACCCCTAGAGCAAAGTCACCCAGGTCACCACATTATAGATCACCTTCATCTCAAAGTTATACAAGTAAGCAGAATTGCACATTTTTCTTCATCTCTTCTTTACACAAAATTCTTCCTTAATGTGCTCTCTCTTTTTTCACACTTTTCTTAATTTGCCTTATACACTCATTTGCATTTCCACGTGGGATTTTAGAATATTTGTGTCCAAGTTAAGTCATTGACGACAGTAATCATCTGTTGTTCAAAATTATTAAAAGTTTTGGACATAGGATTCCTTTTAGTGTCTGACCCTTTATTACTGCTATATAACTAATCAATTAATGTGATTTTTTTTCAGGTACATTGGTAGACCCTTCATTGCAGACTGAGGACACCTTGAGACCCCATACCCCACGCGACCAGACCATCTCACCGATACCAGCTCAGAACGATCTCAACCGATCGCATAGACAATCTCTATCCCCTTCCGCCATGAGTAACAGCCACGAGAGCTTCTCATCAATAGAGGGCGGGCGAGATCAGAGCCTCGTCGGCCCCCTACCGACCTTTGCACCACCACGTAGGACGCTATCCCCGGTCAGTCAGCACTCGTTGAGCAGCGGATACGGGAGTCGTAACACGTCGCAGAGCACGACGAATACGTCGTCCATCCGCGGGAGGCGGAGCTTCCCGAGCATGGAGGAAGTCCAGGAGGAACGTGACGAGACGCGGAGTCCCGTCTCGGACACCAAGAAGGACGACTCAACGGACGAGAACTACGAGTTCGACAAGGGGCTCGACACAGAACTCATGGAGGCCCTGAAGCGGTATTACGAACCTGAAAAGTCGATGTTGGTCGACGACGAGAACGGGGAGGACGTCAAGCCGGAGTACGCGGAGAAGCGTTGTGAGGAACTCAAGAAGGAGTTTGACGAGTATCGTAAGAAACAAGCCATCATTGAGGATGTCCAGGTAGAAGCCATACCTGACATCGCTAGGGAAGTCTACAAGCCTCCGAAGCTCACTTCCACCGTGTGACCTTACACACTCATAAGCAATAGGTGCTGGACTTACTGAGCAATAGAACAGAGTTTATATATTTGTATCAGCATTTTCAGCTTGAATCATGTCTTTCTGATCATGCTTTTGCTGGTGGTGTTGACAAGTTTTCAGATATATTTTTGAAAAAGTCTATTTAAGTGTTGAGCTCATTTATTCCATTCCTGTTAACTTCACATCTTTCAATATCATTCAAGATGGCACTATATTCTTTAACTTATCTAATTAGTTACCTAAAGAAGATGGAAGTTTTCCTTTTTGTATAAATTCAGGGGTTCACAACAAAATTTCCTAATTCTTTAGATAAAATTCAATGACAAAAAAAAAATTGTTTTCAAATTGCATTGAAAATGAATATTTTTGTTTAGTACTTATAATAATTTTGAAGTTTTGTGAAGGGTAGTGTGTGGTATTGCTCATAGTTGTATGTGCATCATCTGAAACGTCTTCACCACAAGTGGAACAAATTAATCTCTTTATTTCAATTTTGTTATAATAAACCATTTCAATTAAAATTACTGCACTTGAATATGTCCCTGCCATCCACTTTTCCCAAAATGTTTGTGATTTCACAAACATAGATAAATGCCTAGCTAGTTAAATGGGGTACTTACAAGAACAATCCGTATTCTGTTCACTTTAATGGTACTAAATGAGAGTGTGAGTGAAATTTACAATGATGTAAATTATTGCAAAGTGAGCGTGTGGGTGAAATTTACAATGATGTAAATTATTACTAAATAGGCGGTGTCACACAGAAAAATCCCTTTAAAAATCCCTTGAAAAATCCTTTCAAGGGAGAATTTTCTTGCTTCATTAGATGATTTTTGAAGGGATAATTGATGACAGACTGCAATTAAAAGGATACGGTAACTAAAATCCAGATAACTAAAATCCGGATTTTTGGCCTCTGTGTGATACCACCTAGTGAGAAAGCGTGAATTAAATTTATATGGTGTACTGTAACTTACTTTACTGGCGATATGACAAAGAAAGTTCTTTCTTTTGTAAATAGATTTGGCTGATTGAACATTGTATTTATAAACATTGCTGAACATGTACATGTATGTAAAAACAATTTTACATACCACTGCATGAAAACTTTTTATTACCTCTTTGGAAGTTGTTCAAAACTTCATGTTGTACATTCTTTTAACTATTTATTGTTCTCTGTATTGACCAGAGAATATTGTACGAACAAAGCTGAACAAATATTTTATACGCTATTTGTACGTGTAAATAGTAAATACTATTTTTCTACTGCACCGAAGACAACTTGTGACTGAATGTGATACTTTTAGATATGATCATGTTTTTCAAATTAGGTTGTTGGTGTTAACATGCATGTTTTTGTGTTTTATAGTTTTACCCCATTGTGTAGATATTTATGTATCTTTGTGTTAATAGTGTGAAAAAGTTTGATTTTGCAGCAGTATTTATGCATCATTGTGCTAGTTTTGGTTAATTTCCCTTAGTTACGTATGATTTTGTTTATATGTAAGCATTTTGTATTTTTATACAAGTACCGTATGTAAGAATATATAAGTCACAGAAACGGTCATGTGGATTCATAACTTACTCTTTATTTCAGTTCAAGTTGTTTTCTTTTTCTACCTTTCTTCTTATACATTGTCATGTAAGGAAAATGACAAGTATTCCACCGTGTATATCCATGTATCAGTACACAGCATTTGTATTCAATTATCAAAAGTTTATGGCAGTACTTATGGTTCAGTACTGAATTGTAAGATAAATCTGAGCTCTGGTTGAACAGGACTGCATTTTAGAGGAATTTGATACAATTGTTTTAAATTGTTTATTATCCATTTATTGTGTATTTGGACAAACATGATTACCGGTATATAAACCAACTGCTGTTAACTCGTTGAAAATCACACCATCTAAAGTACAGGCAAATAGATATGAATAGTTCTGAATTATCCTCAATTAGATGGGGATTATTAATATTGTCATTAAAACGGTTTATTGTACACATGTTTATAATTAGCACTGAACAAGCAAAATTAGATTTTAAGTATATATCTTTGCTCTGTAATGCTATGTAATGCGGATAAACTTTGCACACAAAAATACCATGACACAATACCTTGTTCAGCATAATAACATAGCAGTTCCAAAGAGATTACCTCATACACATTTGCAGCATGTAATCATCGTCTGCTTTCCGCAAGAAGGCTGTTCACTGCCATTGACTCTTATTGCCTTCTTGCATGGAGCTGACGACACGTATACACATACATAAACACAGCAGTTCAGCTTTGACTATCCTTGACTTTTGTATGTTGCATTTGCAATGATTGCTAGAGGTTTATACAGTGATTAATAACATTTGCTGATAAACTATTTTCTAATTCTTGCCATTTTGTGTGTCACATATACTTGTATCTGACGAAATGTCAGATTCGTTTTTGGACTTTGCCTAGTTTTTACATGTTCTATTGTGTCTGTTTTTTAAGTCTGTTTTTGGTATCATCATAATTCCAAATATGTCACTATACCTCACTGTAAATTACATGCACTTGACTGGATTTTTATGATCAAATTGTTTTTTTTTGTATCCTTCCAATTTAAATAATCGTATGTCTGCCTGCTAAAGGAACCAAAGTTTGTTTATCTAATAAGTAATAATTTTCTGATAAGTATTAACACAACTCATATGATTGCAGTATGGCTTCAAAGATATAACTGCAATTGGTGTAGGATCTCTTTTATAAGATCAAATTTTTAAGTAGGCATCAGATAGGCACCTTTTTAGCATCATTTTTCCTTCTTCCTCTTTCATTTTATCGTGAAGTCTAACTCAAGTTTATCAGAATATCTTAATATATGGTCATAATTCACCATTTACATGTAAAGACAGTGTCATTGGTTTGTATACCAAAAATCTCAAATTTGTCAAGGATTTTACCTCATTCTTTTTTGTTATTTTCCAAATGCTAAAACAAAACCATATATGTGATGTCTTTTTATCAACTCTTGCTGCAGAGATGCTTGTTGACAAGATTTATTTGATAATCTGTTGTTTTATTACACTAAATGAAAGATATGTTGTAGGGGGGACCAATACAAATTCATACCTGAAGAATATAGTGCCACTTGTTGAAAAGATTAACAGTATGCATATATCTTTGGTGTTAAATCTTTAAATTAATCTTTAGGGGTTTTAGAAGGGAAACAAATTTTCAATAGCGCTATGAGCACCGAAAGGTGGACCTGTGCGCTATACAAGTAGCCACTATTATTATTATTATTTCCAAACTTTCAAACCAATATCATGGCTATTCTAATTGCACAGATCAATGACACTGTCTCTTTAAGTTCTTTTCTTACATTTCTTTAGATTAAAAGCAACTTGCCTTTGGCATTAGTAATCATCACCGGTTCTCAGCATAAACTATTATCTCAGCACTTCTTGTTTTGTTGTAGATATCTGTTTTTATAGTTCATGTCCATAGTGTTTCTTTTGTAACAACTCTATTATCAACTCCGAATCAGTAGTAACACTTCTCATAGATTCAATTATTTTAGTTGTCTGTAAGGCACTTGTTGGAAAGTTTTTCACCCAACACTGTTTGGATGTAGTTTAAATCTTTCTCTTGCCAATTGAGCACTTCAGGTTTTCAAAAGATCAAATTTTAATGCACATAGATAGTGCACAAGAGAGACAAGATTGGTGACATTGTTTTAACAATTTCTTTTTTTTAATGTAATACTTCCTGGGAGAAATTTAGTTTAAACTAAAAAAAATTGTATTGAGTTTAATACCGATACTTATTGAAAGTAGCACAACTTTTATTTAGTCTGCATATTGACAATGATATTGACTGATCAGAAATGGGTTTGATCCTCAACTTTCATGTAGCTACATGTAGCTTGTCCCTAAAACTTTTGTAGACAATCTATTTAAAATTCTCTTTATTCAGACAGTTTCTCCATTTAAAAACTAGCAGAAATCATTTGTCTAATTCTTCTTATTCTATCTCATCGGTATAAATGTGAATGCAGGGTTTTAAAAAAATAACCTGTAAATGATAGTGATACATAAGTATTCTATGTAAAGCATATCATTGCAATACTAATGATGAAAAGTAATGTTGTATATTGAACTAGTTTTATTTACACAACTCTTTCCACACCTTCGGGAATCTTATGGCACAAATTAACCCATACACATTTTTACCTATACGCATTTTACCTATACAAAATTGTAGATGGTCTGGATTTTACCTAATCATAACTTCCTTGCTTTAGAAGTGACCAATTTGTTGTTGGCCTTTTTAGCTGATGATTGCGCTGTATGGCATTATGACTTTTTTACATGTATTTATGGCTAAGACAGCTGTGTGTGTGTGTGTGTCTACATTTAACTTTTCTAAATGTAATGATAATAATATGTATAAAATGACAAAACATAAAAAAATACTTGAGTTTTCTATGGCTATTTCTGTATTAGTTTTCAATAGCGTTTGTGCAAGACGGGTGTTGAAAAGTGGGCAAAAAATTTGGAGAGAGAGAGAGAGAGAGAAATGGAGATCAAGAAAGAGATAGAAAGACAGAGGGGAAAACGTATAAAGACAGAGCCAGACACTAATGTCCTTTGGCATTTATCTACATTTGGCACACTCAACCCAGGTGATGTAAATGTACCTGGCAGGAATTAATTCTTTGACATGCTAGAGCGCCGTATGACAGCCATGCTAAAGCCAGGGTAATAATCGGGAGAGCGCCAGGACATGTGCGGTATATAAGAAGCCACCATTATTACCATTATTATACGTATATTTCATTCACAGAGAGAAGAGGATGCGGGGAAATCTAGAGAGTATAAGAGAGAATTGGTGACAGAATGATGTGATTCTACAGTAGCATGCCAGTATTAAAATCATCCTTCATTAGTTTCTTTAAAAATGCACAACTCTCAAAGAATTTCAAACAGACAAGATATATGTATTTGTAAATATATTTTATCTTTAATATCTTCAACTCAAGTCATAAAGCAAAGTAGATTCATAAATCAAACAAGATTGATTTCACTTTTTACATCTAACTTGAACTATTGAATCAATAACCAACAAGTCCTGTTTTTATTCTGCTCATACAGTAAACCACAGTAAACTGCTGTGGTTTACCACATCTTTTTCTAAAGTCACTGTGTACGTTAAGATTAAGTTGAGGTCTGGTCATGTGATTGCATTGTGAAAGAAACGATGTGGAATCGATCAGAAATAGTTGATCATGTAGCATAAATCAGTATTGGTGTATACTGCAAGGTTCTGGAGTCATAAAACTGATAAGAAACATGTGGCATAAAAATGAGGCCCACATTTTTAAGCTTTTACATGTCATATTTAGAATATGAAGGCTTTTGAAGAGCCATGATTTTTAGGGAACATTTTCTCTGATGTTCTTCTACACTTTCATAATAACAATGAAAACGATCCCAGAACTCGACTTTCTCTTTAAGCGCACTGCACTTTTTTGTATCTAAAAACACAGATGGTAAGTACGGTTTACGACTACGTTTTTATTCTAAATTGCCATTCATTTAATACAACAAAAACACCACCATTTATCATGGTGTGTGTCCATTTCAATTTCAGGACTGACTGAGTATTGGCCTTGTGTCATTTAGTCAGGAAACTTGTCATAGAAAGCAACCACACTTCTGTAACAGGTGACAAGCTTGCTCACAGGCAATCAAGTGAATTGCTCTCAGTATCAATTCTTGCAACTTGTGGGTGTGAAAGTGAGAGGGTGCCTTATTCAATATTCATCCCCAAATTTATTTGGCACAAAATACATGTAGCTTCAGAGACTCTCCTTATTTGCTAATACAGGCATTACAGTTGTGATTTGACAACTTTTCATGAGATACTCTCAACATTTTCTTTAACAGTTTTACAGCATATGTATGTAAAGATTTCGCTCTCTTTTATATATTGCATTCAATCTTTCTCATACTATACTCTGAAAAAAATGGCAACAGAATTGCATTAGTATTTCTTTTCATAGTATTAGCTAGGCAATGGTCCCATTCCTTTTGATCGCTTCTTGTCGGCCATTGTTTTTCTGTTATGATTGCCTCTTGATGATTTGTTTCTTTCATTCTTTGCTCTTGACCTCCCCTCTTGCTCCGTCCTTCCTTGACCTTGTCCTCCTCCTCCTCCTCCTCCTCCTCCTCCTCCTCCTCCTCCCGATCCACCTCCCTTTCCTCCACTCCCTCCTCCTCTACCTCCACTGGCACTCCCTCCCCCTCTACCTCCACCCCCTCCTCTCCCACTCCCTCCACCTCTTCCGCTCCCTCCCCCTCTGCCGCTTCCGCCCCCACCCCTACCTCCCCCTCTTCCTCTACCTCCCCCTCCTTGCCCTCTCCCTCCACCCCTGCCCCCTCGTGACGGCTGACCCTTGAGTTGGGGCTGATGGGGGTCACGACCTGACCCGGCTCTTGGTCTCTCTGATGCTCTGCTATCCTGTTAAAGATAAAAATAAAAGTCAAAATCAAATTTCAAACTTCAATCGTGTGCGAACAAGTACAATATTTTTGATCAAAAAGATAAGATAATTGAAAAGTGCTCACATGTTTTCTTCAGAATGTGATTTTGTACAAAGTGCCCAACATAAATGAAAAACTCTAGAACAACACTGCTTATAATGGTACAAGAAGGAACACATTCTACATGAACATGTATCTGATAGATGACTGACAATGGTTGATACTATAACAAGTATGAGGAGCAATTTATTAGTTGTATAGTACTTAACAATTTGTTCAATATATTGCTAAATTCTGGCACTAATTCATTTACTGTAAAATTCATTTGTTGCATATCTTACACCCTTCACAGACATCATGAATATGCTAAGAGCAACGAAAACTCTGAATAATATGATTTAATCAATCAATCTATTCATTTATTAATTCTCCCTGTCATTCATTCATTCATCAATCCATCCATCCATCCATTCCATCCATTCATTCATCCATCCATTCATTCATCTATTCATCCATCCTTCCATCCATCTATCCATCCATCCATTCATCTATTCATCCATCCATTCATCTATTCATTCATCCATCCATTCATTCATCTATTCATCTATCCATCCATTCATTCATTCATCAATTCATTCATTCATCAATTCATTCATCCATTCATCCATTCGTCCGTCCATCCACCTACCCATTCACCTACCCATCCATTCATCCATCCATCCCATCCACCCATCCATCATATAAAAAAGACACTCACTTGAGTTCTCCTTGTATCTTGACTCTTCTCTTCATCCTCCTCTTCCTCATCATCATCTTCTAATTCCATCCATCTATCTATCCATCCATTCATCCATCCTTCTATTCATTCATCCATCCATCCATCCATCATATAGAAAGACACTCACTTGAGTTCTCCTCGCATCTTGACTCTTTTCTTCATCCTCATCTTCCTCATCATCATCTTCTAATTCCATCCATCTATCTATCCATCCATTCATCCATCCTTCTATTCATTAATCCATCCATTCATCCATCCTTCCATTCATTCATCCATCCATCCATCCATCATATAAAAAGACACTCACTTGAGTTCTCCTTGCATCTTGACTCTTCTCTTCATCCTCATCTTCCTCATCATCATCTTCAAATTCCATCCATCTATCTATCCATCCATTCATCCATCCTTCTATTCATTCATCCACCCATCCATCCATCATACAAAAAGAGACTCACTTGAGTTCTCCTCGCATCTTGACTCTTCTCTTCATCATCCTCCTCCTCATCGTCATCTTCTAATTCATCTTCATTGTTCTTTGCTTGAACAGCGGCTAGAACTCTTGGCATGGTGAATGGTCTGATAGATGAAAAAGGATTGATAGATTGGTTACAAAAAACTTCACAATTTGTTCCACAACATAGTATGAAAGAACGCTGACAGTGATTACAACAATTAAAAGCAGTCAAGGGCATATAAATGTAAAACAATCCATCCATGAAAGCGATTTTGTCAGATTTATTTAGTTTAAAAGCTTAATTTTTTGTTAAGTCGTAAATGATCGTTATTATAAATATGCATGAAGACATTTAATTATGTAACAAAACAAAACGAAAATGACCAAACGAAAATCAATATTATGTACGACTATTATTTTGTCATCACCAAAATGTATCCATGATTTGTATCCTATTTCTGTTCTTCGTAATCTATGTCTGAGCCTTTACTTAATCACATGTGAGCGAAACAAATACGTTAAACGCAAATTGGAGAAAATAAATACAATTCAATGCACTTGTATTTATTTGTCCAATCTAAAGTTGTTTCTCTCAAAGTGCCACCAAAATACAAGAACTCAAGATCAACTGAAAACTCTACCTTCTGGTCTGTAGCTCATCCGCCGAGTCAGCATCGCCAGCTCCAACATTGATGGTATCATAGGTGTCATCGTACTCGTCATCATATTCATCATCATAGCTGACCTCGTAATACTGCTCATAAGATTTCTTCATCTCTTGGACGGTGGATTTGTCGGCGAGTACGGCCTTGGCGCTCTCCTCTTTCCTAAAATGTAAGAGCAAAAATCTTCTAAATCGACTCAAAATATCAATTTCTTATTCTTAAATTGGCCTTCAAATTCCCTGAGAGTAAATTTATCTGTTTCCATGCTAACTTCTGCATTTCCAGATTTTAACAACATAATAGTACTAGTAACTCTGAGTAAATAAAAGCTTTTTAACATGTTTCTCAAAGGTTTCTAGGCATTGAATGTTTCGATTGTCACTTGGCAGCTTGTTCCAGAGGACTGGTGCAACATAAATGATCGCCATAATGGGTGGTTCGGGTTCTGGGGACTTCTAGGATGGTAGAGGCAGAAGAAAGGAGAGTGGTAGAGAAAGGCAGAAGAAAGGAGAGTGGTAGAGAATGGTAGAGACAGAGGACAATCTCACTGTATTTTAGTTATAAGTATCTAGGAATAATGGTCCCTAGAACTCGCCCATTGTGGTCAGCACAGTTCTTACCTCTTTCCTTTCTGAACTTTAGTCCTGTCCACTTTGTCCTTCGAGAAGACATCAAACTCATCGTTATCATAGACGTTAGCCCTCTGAGAGAGAAGGTCTTCAGGGGGAGCAGCCTTAGGCTTTGTCCTGTAGGGTGAAAGAAAGACAAATGAAATTGCTCCAAAATAATGTAATGAAATTTTGTCATGTCACCCTTTTTAGAATACATCAAAATCATCTTCATTATCGTAGCCCTCTGCAGAGGTGATAGTGAGCACTAATTTTTTTATTTTTTTTTAATTGATTTTTTTTTTCCCCTTCCCTCAACCATCTAGATTATTTTGAACCTTCACCTGTCTAATGGTAGACTCATATGTGCTCCTTGGTATTATATGTGTGAATAATAACAATTGCATAGTGTTTACTTGTATTATAATGATTCTATATAGTATATTGCCATTCATTTAAACGTAAGAAAAAAACCTGGCATTTTTGTTTTGTTTTGTGGCGGTTCACCCCGTCATATCTGAAAAAGCATTTTAATGTTAGAACATTTGTTACTTGAAGTTATAATATACGACTCCATGTACTATGTTTATAGAGAGAAATGAATAGTGTTTCTTTTTAATTCACCTCTTCATGGTTCTATCCAATCCTTGCAGAGATTCAAGGAGTTTATCCTCCAGGATGTCATTGATGACTTGGGCACTGTCATAGTTGTACTCCTCCAGACAAGCCTGTAATACAAATTTATTTGTGGGGTTACATTTGTATTTGTAGAATAGCCTATTTTCCCTGTTGGAAAAGCTTCATTCTACAGTTGAATAAAGATATTCACAAAAATTTCTCATTTAAAAAAAAAAAAAAAGAAGCCTGTAATACAAATCAAACAAGAAAGAGGATAGAGCTCATAAAATATTATGAATAACTGAAAACAAAAGCAAAATACAGACACCCATACATACTACAATCGTCTTGAGACAGAAGAAAATACTTTGACTTCAGTGATTTTAGCTTCTACAGTAGGCTTTCCACTACCAAATGTTGTTTAGAGACCACTACAATGAAAACAATTTAGTTTATGATAGCGCCAACTTCCAACATGCTTTTGACAGAGCCAATCCGCTCAATATTCATACAGTATGAAATGTGGCAAATGAAGGGTCTTTGAACAAGATCAAAATTAGCTGAACTCAACAAATCAGAACTTACAGACTTTTCAGAAAGGACAGTGCATTAAAGGTATAGACCAGTTTTTGGAAACGCCCCCCTCTCTCTTAAAATGAAATGGAAGCTCTTATTACTAATTATATAAAAGAATATGTTTTGAATAATGTACATGATGATATAAATTTTGCCAGGAAACCGTCTACTCATTGATATATTAGGTAAATTATCATATTGATCCGGCCTGGATAGATATCGCGAATGCACTTCAACATTGAACATTTGGGCATATATTTCTGCTTTTTTGCGAATTTAGGTTAAAGTATTGCTATCTTAACCTCTGAAGGCAATACTTAAAGAATACTGAATGGATATCTTGCACCCAAAACCCTTGAACCGCAATTTTACCACTACCGGTCAATATCTTTAAGCATGTGTTGTTAATATCTTACGATTATGAACCCTTCTCCCAAGTCTGGCAGTAGGTCCCTCACACCACTTATCAGTGATTCGAGTTCAACACCAGTCTTTAAGGCAGGAGAGGCAGTAGCTGATGCTGAAGCGACCTGATAGAAAATGAGGAAAACAAATGAAATTGAATTGAAAGTGTAACTTCATTTGCAATTACATTTTATAAGAAAATGTATTTGTAACCTTGCATGGAAATGTTAAAGTTCATTTGCAAATTTATTTGGGCCTATGTGAAGATCATTTGTAATTTTGTATAAAATGTTATAAATTATGTACACTTTTCTTTAGAGAGTAGAGAATAAAAACCTATAAAAAAAATTCAAAATGTTTGTTCGGCCAATTATTTAACCATCTGAGAAAATGAAAGGCACCTGGTACTTTATTCCACATCACACATTTTATTCTTATATAGATATATATATATATATATATATATCTCACCTGATCTTCTAGATATACATCCGTTTGGTAATCTTCAGGTGCAGCCACCAGCACGTCCAGACTCTGGTTGCCCTTAGGAGAGGCACCCGCCCGGGGTGTGGTAGCGCTCTTAGGGGTGGGAGGCTTACGTGGGTTCTTGCACCCATAGAGAGACAAAGCTTCATGCATTCCATCCTGAATGAACTTAGTCCTCGTCTCATCCCTGCGAGTAATTCTAGTTGAGGTTTAATGAACTCACACATGCTGTTACTTTGGGCTAAATTACGGTAAATAGCTATTTTCTATTTCTTAATCTAATTTCCCTCATACTTTTAGTTAACTCCATGTAAAGCAAGCAATAGGAAAACATAAGGTTCACTCATTAAACCTACTTCACGCCCCTCCTCTTTTAGCTCCTAAATGGAAATTTGTTTGCAATTATTCCCTCATTCTAAATCCTTCAAGAATAAAAAATAAAGTTTTGTTCATAAAATCCAGAATAAAATGAATATATGCCTCATCTCTGTAATTTTAATTCAAGATTTAAATTGCTTTGCGTTGCTTTGAATTGCTTTGCTTTGCTTTGCTGTCCAAACCATGACTTGTTTCAGATATGTAAATGACTATGTATCTTACGTTTTCAAGTTGCATAGTAAAAAAACATTTATTAATAAAACAAGTATGCGAGAGAGCAAAGCATAAAATCAATTTCCTTCCGTGTGCATACAATGTTTGTGAACTATAGAGAGAAGTGAACTATCTATAGAAGTGTCTAGTCTAATAGATTCGTCGCTGGACTGTGAATCACATGGTTCACGGTTGGTCCCGCCGCAGCACTAATACCCCTTGGCAAGATATTAATCTACATTTGCCACCCTCCACCCAGGTGTAGTAAATGAGTATATGGTAGAAGAGTTCCTTTGAATGCTTGAGCGCCTTCTCATGGAAGCTCGGCTAAAGCCAAAGTACTAATATGATTGCAGGGACCTCAGGGAAAACAGTATAAATACTGATGAGGCTACCCTGGGTAAACAAGACATTACATTATTATTATTATTATTATTATTATTATAACTATTTCCGAAAATGCAGTTAAGGATACACTTGGTGCGAGCTCTGTACTATCATATCGATGTCATCTTGGATGTTGGAATGGTTGCAGATCGTAGCTAGGAAGAGTTTATCCGTCAGGAGGGATGCCAAGACTTCAAGGTAGCTCTCAATATGACTTGAAACTTCATCACTCCCACTAGAGATAAGAAGATAAGATAAGTCAGGGGAGGATCCAGGAAATTTCCAAAAGAGGGGAGGGGGGGGGGGGCAAAATGTAAACAATTGCGAGAACGAAACGCTAAACCTTTACGCTGTGGGGTCCGGGAAAATGTTGAACCTTAAGATGCTCTATGGTACATTCTGAGGCATTTCTGAATGCATAAAAACTGAAAATTTATGTGAATATTTCTTAGCTTTTTTCCGAAAAAAAAAGGGGGGGCCAGCACCCCCTGTATCCCCCTGAAAGTGGATATTCAAAGAGGACCAATCACTTCCAAAACAATTTATATTGGTCTATAGAAGCTAGCAGGCTGTAAATGGCTCTCCATAATGTTTAAGTCTAAGTTTGTGAAATGCCCCCAAGTGCAAATAGAGCGCACGTAGCAAACAGAGCAAAAACAAATTGTCAAAGTGTTCCCCAGTTAATCAAACGTTGTTTGTCGTTCATTGTTATTTCCATCTTTATCTATTCATATCCAACCTTATTTGTTTGTTTACCTTTTGGCAAGGATTGGCTGAACACAGCAAATATTCAGGATTAAAACACAAGTGTGAACAAGGCCCGACTGTGCTATCACAAGGTGCTTCTTCAGGGTGTCTTTCACACTGCAAAGATAAGATTACATTATATGGGTTTTTATAACAAGGATAATAAACTATTAATAATAAATACTTATAAAGCCCACTTTTCTCATAACTTACTCAAGGCGCTATACATAACAAAATACACAAATCTCTCTCCAGAATTTTATCAACATAATATCATTAGAAACTGTGAGTACCTTAAACCTTTTTTAACATATGTTTCTGAAAAGTTTCTAGGCATTGAATGTTGTGAATGTCACTTGGCAGCTTGTTCCTGAGGACTGGTGCAACATACACAAATGCACGATCCCCATAATGGGTGGTTCAGATTCTGGGGACTTCTAGGAAGACAGAGGCTGAAGAGCAGAGTGAGTAATGGGATTGAGTAATGACTCTAAAGAGGAGATCTTTCAGGTACTCGGTGCAGTATTGTGGAGCGCCTTAAAGACAAGTGTTAGGATCAACCATTTATTAAACGATGACCTAACTCCTGTTAGTCTACTGGCTTACTGATGGACTACACAAATCACAGGATTTATGCAACAAACTAAACAACATTTATTTGTTCATGAAATTAAATTCCGCATCTACTCTATCTCATTCAGACATAAATTTACTACAAATCAAAATATCTTTCTGTAAAAAATTGTCCTTTAAAGCAACTGTGAAACTCCAATTTATGTTGAATGATCATCATATACATTTTTATACTAAGGATCTATCACTAGTGTTTCGGAATATTACGATTTTATGCAAAAACATCTTAAATGATAAATATGCCTTCCACATACAGTAAAGATTTAAATATGGTAACAATAAAGAATTCTTTGTGATTCATACCTCTCTGTCTCCCAATCCCTTTCCATAATGAAGTCCAGAAGTTCAGGCATGAGGATTTCATAGAAAGACGCTATCCTACAGAAAGAAAATGGTAACGATATACTTGTAGTAGAGAAAAGAATGATTCTCATGGTTGATTAAGATTTATAAAGTTCGACAAATATGATGAACAGATATTCCTAAAAAAGTGTTTCACACATATCATGTTATTTGGTACTGGGGCGACATGATACCTCAACTCACTGAACTCCCATGCTTACCTGTTAGCATGAGAGTCTGACCAAATCTTAGATGAAAAATCAGTGAAGATTTATACGTAAAAGACCAAGGTCCTCTTACCCTCATTGTAAGGCTAAAAAGTACCTGCTCATAATAGTTACAAGATGCCAATTACAGTCAAACCTTTATAGGAAGATCATCTGAGGGAGACACAACTTGGTCTTTATAGGAAGGTGTTCTTTATGTACAATTCCTGTAGTACAATGAAACTTGTAGCTATAAAGATCGCTCATGGGGACAAGAAAAATGTTCTTTATAGGCAGGTGGTCTTTGTGTACATACGTTTCACTGAGAAACAGCATTTCAAGGGAAACCAAAAATGTGGTCTTTATAAACAGGTGGTCTATTTATACAAGTGGTTGAAGCAGATTCGACTGCACCATAATATTCTTCCTTCAATAATTTTTTTTTTTTTCTGAAGTAAAAATAATCAGCAAAATCTTCAAATGTTCTATTCTGAACATGGTTGTTCCTTTTTTTTTCATCACCATCATCAACAAAACAATCAAATCATCATCAACATCATCATCATCATCATCATCATCATCATCATCAACATCATCATCAACATCATCATCATCATCAACATCATCATCAACATCATCATCATCATCATGATCGTCATCTCCTTACTTCTGTATGGCCCCTTTCCGATAGAACATCTGGCAGGCCGCTGGGTAGACTTGAAGAAAGGCTAGCAGCGTCTGGGCGGAGTCAGCCATGTACAAGATGACATCATACAAATCCTGGTTGCTGATTGGTTGCCTGAAAAGGAAAATGTCATTCACTGTTTTTATTGCGGGTGAGACTTCTCTCTGTGTCTGTGAGAGAGGCCAATATTTTCAAAATGATGCTTATTGTAGGCCATCTTGAAAGTTAAATTACCAAGAAAGACTTCTTCAAAATGAATTTACAATTATGCCATGATGAAAACATTACTAGAAATATAATCAAGCCTTAAAGGTAATACAAAGTTTTGGTAAATATTGAAAATTGGCTGGATAGTGATTCTTTACAATTTTGATATATTTGGATGCCACTGCCGATGTATTATAAGCACTGAAAAAATTAGGCCGTTAAACACTTCTGCTTTCGAGATATAATGAATTTCAAATAGCGCCTACCGCCATACAATGATAGCTGCAAACATGAAAATCAGTTGTGATATATAATTTCCAAACAGGAATAGCTAATCGGTCGATTTTAGTCAAGAAACACTGTTTTATAGCTAAATCAATATCTTGACCTTGAGAGGGAGCTATACAACACAAAGAGCTTATTATTTAAATTTTCATCACTTAAGACTCAACCGCGACAACGATCACTGAATATTGTAGGATCACTTATGCTTCCAATATGTTAATTTGAACCAAATTCATGACCCCATGCCAAAACTTTGTATTACCTTTAAAAATGCACCATTTATATAAACAAGGGAAATGCTCTCGGCGGTCTCGCCTGCATTACGCAATTCGATAAGATGAAAAATTGAGGTTGGAACATTATTTATAGGCAGGCTGGCCCATTAGCAGGCCCCCAAAATGAAATCCTCTGAATATAATCAGCATTTTGAAGTGAATATTGATTAAGAATCATGAACAAATAAGAAAAATTGATTCATTTATTCTCATATTAAGTTGTGAAAACATAATTCAAGTCTACTGACCTAAAATTACCTTTGACCTGGTGACCTGGAATTTGTGTCATATGACTTGTGATACTTAAAGGTACTAAGTCCCATTTGCAGGCCAAAAAATTACAAAGTTAACTTCCAACTGCATTTTAAAGATAATACTTATTTAGAACTTCCCTAAAAGAGGTGGGGCTTGAAAATGTCTTTAAGTGGGAAAATAATGACTATTAGTTGTCAAATCGACTTTAGGGCTATAGAGCCCAAAAGTAATAGTCTTGATTTTCAGACAATTGTACCGAATGGTCATATGTTTTATGTTGCACAAAGATTCAATCAGTTTAATCTTGGCCATCACAAGAAGTGGGTTATTGATGTAGACAAATGCTCATGTACCCTTTACAACTCTTTTCATGTATGTTATTATTAAAGAAGAAAAAAAGCCAGTCAGTCACTCAATAGTGTCTGACAGTGAAGTCTAGCAAGTAAACAGGTTTCCTAGCTTGCATAATTTGAATATGAGGACACTGCTAACGTTTAAATTTCACAGATAGGACATACATGACATATTCATAATTCCTGCAAAGTTCTACAGAATTTGAGGTTGGCTGCAAAAGGGACATAGTACCTTTAATAACTCTTGGGTACAAGTTTCATGGAATTTGAACAAACACTTTTGCAAATATGCTAAAAATTCAAAATCTTGATGTTGATGCCACAAAAAGTCTAAGTTTGTTGACCTAAAATGACCTTTGACCTCAACTTAGTGACCTGAATTCTACTCACATGATTGGGGATACTTGATTACCCTGTAGTCCAAGTTTCATTGACTAAGAACTTATACTTTCAAAATTATATCAAAAATTCAAAAACTTAACCTTAGGTTAAGTTTACGATAATGATGCCACAACATAGTCCAAGTCTGTTGACCTGAAATGACCTTTGACCTTGACTTTGTGACCTGAAATTCAACTCACATGATTGGGGATACTTGATAACCCTATAGTCTAAGTTTCATTGACTAAGGACTTATACTTTCAAAATTATATCAAAAAAACTTAACCTAAGGTTAAGTTTTTGATGTTGATGCCACCGTCGCCGTCACCGTAAAAGCGGCGCCTATGTCTCGCTTTTTTGCTACGCAGGCCGCGAGACAAAAATGAATACCATAAACTAGACTCAGGTCTGTAAAACAGTCGAAATTTAGCTAACTACCAGTGCTGGTGTCATAAATGTAATTTCAGTTGCAACATTAAAGGAGGAAAATATGTCATGTCCTAATATGCAGAAATAAACAAGGTCATTTTCACCAGGTTTCCAACTTATATCCTGACATAGTTGCTTATGATTTACCATTGTAATAAGCCTATCTGCACTAGTTTGGCCAGGAGAGATTAGACCTTCCTGCATGGTCACTGACAGGTGGTTATCTCATAAAATCAGCTCTCAGTTAATCTTAAGAAAAAGTGGACCATGGGGGATCAATAAGTACCGCTTAGGCATTGTTGGCTGTATAGAGGGCGCAAGTAGCTATAAGTAGTGTAGTGGGGCTTTAAGTGGTTTAACTTACTGTCCAGCTTCTCCCAGCAGTTGAGGTGTGGCACTTCCATCAAAACCACATTTCTTGAGGATCATCATCAGCACCTAGAAACAATTAAGAAACAAAGTAATACCTCAGCCACACTGTCAAAAAACAAATTCCAAACAGACTCATTCTTGGCCACGTTATGTATTACAGTGTAACCTGTCTATAAAGGCCACTTGTATACACAAATACACTTTGGGCGACCTTCCACGCAAGCCGCCGTAAGTGGCGCTACAGTTGGGGGGCAGCTGGGGGGCTTCTGGATAGCACCTGAATGGGAAAGTTGAATGAGCGAGAGCTCGTTCGTACTTAGGCCCGCATCTACTGGCGGTGTGGTGAGAGTGCCTCCGTACCGTAAGATCGAACTCACAACTCTGCTCCAGCTAGCTAAAATTCTTTGAATTATTTATATTCTAACTCTAAATCATTCCGTCTCTCACTCTCTTCAATTCAATAAAATCATCTGCATGTTAACATACACGATAATGAATATGTGGGGCACCGTTACAACGGCGTCTCCCAAACTTCGATTGCCGAAAACGCACGCAAAACTCGCCAATGACGGACATCATCTACCCATTCATCCATCGTAAATGAAATAAATTTAGACAAAATGAAGTTGAAATGTCCGAAAGCGGCAAGGAATAATAAGTGGTTTGTCTGTGAGAAAGCAATGATCGTTGCATGCAAGATGAAAGCGCAAGCTGATAGAAGCCCCCCAGCGTGTAATGATAAACGTAGAGGGCTCACATCCATGAAAATTCGCCCGTATCGGTGTATAGAAAGACCACCTGTCTACAAAAACCACACTTTTTGTTTCCTTTGAAAATGGTTTCTCATTGAAACATGTACTAAAGAAACTGTACATAAAGACCGCTTTTCAGGTCTCCCTTGGGTGGTCTTTACAGACAGGTTTCACTGTAATACCTCAATCACACTGCCAAAAAACAGACAAACAAACCCAAACCGACTCATTCTTGGCCATGCAGTGTATCACATTGTAACCTGTCTATAAAGACTACCAAACGGAGACAAGAAAAGTGGCCTTTAAAGGCAGGTGGTCTTATGTACAGGTTTCTTTAGTACATGTTTCAATAAGAAACCATTTTCAACGGAAACAACAAATGTGGTCTTTGTAGACAGTTAGAGACAGTATTTGGTATTAAGCGCTATATAAATCCAGATTATTAAATAATATTATTCTTTCATACTTTCAACCTGCCAATTTGCTTTGATCTTCCCAAACCACCCTCAGAAATGTTGCAAGACCAAATTTTGTTTAATTCATGTCAAGGAAAAACAACTGCATTTTATTTCAAAGATTGATTTGTATTGCTTGGAATCAATACAAAAAAAAACTATTGAAATAAAATTAAATTATTACACTGCATTTTGACCAAGGGTAAACAAATTCCTCCCTAGAAGCCTGCCAGTTCTTACTGTCAAGGTCGTGTCTACAACAACTTCCAGGTCATTCTGATACTGAGGCTGATGTGTGAAGATGTTGTCCAGCATCTTGCTCAAGAGGGCGCTGTTTCCCCCTCCGTAGATGACGCACAGGTCCATGATCTTGGCCATGTCGAAGACGAAGTTGTTGTAGATGAGGTCTCCAAACACACTGGGTGTGATGAAATGATCCTGACAAATGAAATAATGAGATGACAAGATATATATCATGCTTCCAATATCCATACATTGCATTTCCATTCAAAATTTTGACAAAGGAAAAAATTGAAAACAAGAAGGGAAGTAGATAGTGGTCAAGTGTGACGTCATCAAAAAAATATGTTTATAGTTCCCAAATTTGAACTTCATTTTCCGAAAGAGCATCAAAAATAATGTCCGATGTCGAGAAAAAATTGAATAGCGAGATAAATTGTCTATGGTTTGATCGCTATTTATAAGGGCCACTATTCATTTTGTCATACATTAAAGATAGCGGTCCTTATCAATAATGGCCCTTATGATTAGCAAGCTTGACCCAAATCAAAGACTCTTTTACTTAAGGCAATGTCCTTCTAGTGTTTCTGTTCCCTTGTATTAGCAAGTCTTTTGCAGCATTGAAAGATATATTACCTTTGTTTCCTTGTAGGTAGACATTCGCAAGAAAGCCATAAACACTAACCGATGGACCGACTTCTGACGACTGGCAATGGCTGGTGGGATAGCTTTACTTGGGTCATGTGATCTGAAAGAGAACGCAGATTTCAAATAAGATTAATCATCATCAATAGTGATCTGTCAGTTTATGACAGGTTCAGTGACCCAATTGAAATTCTATATCAAGTGTCTCTCCAAGCTCCTCGGTCTTGAGCCATCCGTTTCAGCGTTTCATACCCTGTTGCTTCACATTCTGTGACTTCATCGTCTAGAAAGCCTTTACAAGGTCTTCCCCTCTTCTTCTTTCCATGAATACGACTTTCTATGGCTCTAAGCATTAAGCCCTAAGATTGATAAAACATCCATATTTGCTTGAAGACCCGGACTTCGTCTTATGTAACTGTCATAAGTACAAGTTCAGCAATACAGTGAAACCTGTCTATAAAGACCATCCAAGGGTGACAAGAAAAGTGGTCTTCATAGGCTGGTGGTCTTTGTGTACAGGTTTCTTTAGTACATGTTTCAATGAGAAACCATTTTCAAGGGAAACAAAAAATATGGTCTTTGTAGACAGGTGGTCTTTCTATACAGGTGGTCACTAGAGCAGGTTTGATGTACTTCTATTACTATCATTATTATCATCATTATCATTGCCCTTGCCATAGCTCCATCATCACATTATATATTACTAGTCTGCAGGCAAAGACTCTAATATGACACTTGACCACAATTCCTAAAGCCTTGAACAGAGCCTAGCTCTGACAGTCTCTGGCTGTGTCAAGCCACTACAGTACAGTACTGAGCCTATGCAGTATGCTGTCAGCCTAGTCTCACTGTGCAGACACTGTTATGTACAGTGACTGACAAGGCTTTGTACCTACACTAATCTATTACCTGGGAGCATCTTGTAGATAAGATTCCAAACTCTGTTGGAGGCTTACATCATTCACGACCTGCAGAGATACAAAGTAATTTGATGGAAATTAGTATCTGAACTTACAGCTCTACTTACAAGCACAGCATTGTCAACTGTTCTTGTTATTATTCGTGAATTGCTTCTTGTTCAGTTGACAATAAATAAATTTTGGATTTTGAATCTTGAATTCTTTTTTATATAGTATAAAAACGATTGTATCAAAAATTGAAATAGCATACTGTTTCATTAAAGACATCGTTTTTTGCATATACAGTGATAATTCTCATGAAATAAGAAGTTAGCAAGAGAGAGAGAAAAAAGATGAGAACGAATAGGCAGCAAGAAGGTCGCTCAGACAAAGACAGACATTTTTTTAAACAGAGAGGCAGAAGTGAACCAGGCACAAAAATGGTGTAAAGAAAAAATGAGAGAGCTAGAGATAGATAGAAATAGTAACAGGAAATGCAGATGGGAGGGGATGCAAACAGTCAGCATACAAGTATCAGCTTACCTGACTCCAGAATTTATGATGGGGTAACTTGAGGAGCCATTGGAGATCTTCTTCCATGAACTTTAACCTCTCCTCCCACTCCTCTAGCCCCACCCCATCCCCAGGGTCTGGGGGCGGGGCATACTTCACAAAGTTCACTTGCTCCAACCAGAACTCATCCTTTAAAAAATATATAATAATAGTAATATTCAAGAAATTAGATATGATAAAATTAGATAAAATAGGAAATGTATGAAAGCATGCAAAGTAAGAAAAGATGTGAGTCGATCAGTGGAACCACGCCTCAACAATTATTGTGAAGGCAGCTACATTTTTGGGTTAACTTAACTGTTTACTCAGGAATTGTTTCAATTAGCCACAATACTCTTTTTAAGGACTTTTGGTCTCTTCCACTCAAACTAGAGCCCCAACATACACTATGAAACAGAATTTACGAGAAACACTAACAGTAAGATAATGAACAAGTACAAATTAATTACAGCTTTGTGCTTCGTGCACAAACTGACAAATGAAAAGATTCTGATTCAGTGTAAATTGGCATCCATTGCAACCCCCCCCCCCCCCCCCCCCCTCCCACACACACACTTACCAAGGCAGGTCGATCCATCTTGGAGCCATCTCTATTTGTGACGGACAGTGTCCTTTTCTCCAAGGGGACTGGGTCATCCTTTCCCATAATCCTTCTCACTTGATCTCTTCAAATTGGTAAGTCTGCAGGATCGTTGATGATTCGGCTAAAACAGAGAGAAAAATATTAATCACAATAATTGGTAGATTGTAGATTTTACCAAGTTTCAGATCTAAAAGGGCTAGTCATGCAAACCAACTAAGCTGATTTAACTTCATGATCATGATGATCAATATATTATAGTGGCGTATAAATAATTTAAAAAAATCAATAACAATACTAGAGTCTAATAGAGCCTAGTGCAGTAGTGGTCCCACTCAAGTCTCCCATTAGGCACGGTCACTCTCATACACAAATGCTACCCACCCATGTCCATCAACATCTGAAAAGGACCCTAATGGCCGCTTGGCGTATCACACTTTTTCTGAAATTACCCTTTTTAAGAAAACGTTGAAACCTGTGCACCTGAAAAGGTAACCTTTTTGGGTTTTCGTGCGATCAGTGCTTGAAAAACACCCCTTTTTAAGTAAAAAGTAGACGACGCCGAACCTGTGAATCTGAAAAGGCACCCTTTTTTTTGTTTTTTTGTGTGATCAGTGTGCTTGAAAAACACCCCTTTTTAAGGAAAACGTTGACGCCGCCGTATAGCTGAAACAGACACCTTTTCGTCACTTTTTCTAGACACCACGGTTTCGAGAAACTGGCCCCGGCCCAGAACACAATTCCTAACTGATAAAAGTTAAAAATAAAACTCGACAAACGACTTCAAATTGGGCGCTTATATTTAAATGTTGGCGGCTGTGTTAAGATGTGGTCTATAATTAAGTGTGAGTGTTTGGTTGATTCAACACTTTCACCTGAATTAGGCCCTCACATTGGATTGCGATTGGCACCCCTTCCAAATCCCCCACCGCCCCCCCCCCCCCTTTCTATGTTCCTGTTCCTAAATTACAGTCCCAGACGTTTACTTTCATGTCGGTTATAAAACGTCCAGATTTGGCATCTTGTAATTTAATGAATAAACTTAACACAAAATATATAACACACTATAAAGTCTACTTTAAGAAAGATGAAAAATAGACAATCTTACAGATCAAATGCGTCACTGAAATGAAAATGAAGAGCACCTTCTTTTTAAGGATTCCCGAGCAGTGTTCGTTCCTTTCTTGCGCAATTTCTCGAAATTTCAGCTAGCAATTCGTGACGTCATGAATTCATTGAATCAAAATGTCGTCCAACTCCGGCGTCAAGATGAAGTCGATTGAGGAAGAAATGAGCAGGTTGGTAACGATTTCTCAAGAAAATGTGTTGATGATGAACTATTTTTAATTTCTTATGTTTTTAAACATCCCGCTATTTAGATTTTACTTGCATTTGTTTACTGAATAAAGCGTTAAACCGACACGTTTTATATTCGTTTCGGCTCGTGATTGTGTGAGTGGGGAAGGCTGGTGCAGGTGTTACGAGCCGGAGCAGGCGGCCGACGGAGGCGGGCAAAACACGACCACCCTTTGGTATCAGCTTAGCCTTAGGCTAGACTCGATATTAATATACATTTTAATATTGTGGACAATAAGCAATGGAAATAGCAACCTGAAATCACCTATTTAAATGTGTGTGTAATAATGAAAATATTTACCCCAAAATCTACAAATTTTGCAGTTTTTTTGCATCCGTTCCGAAATAATTAACTTTCTGACAAGTCGAGGGCATGCACGGCGCAAGGGTCTGGATCTGGAGACCTTTCTTTCAATAGAAGTTGTCATCAAAATGTGAATGTCATACCGACGAATTATATGATATTTCGCCTTCCAATTTATGCATTTATTCTTACCAAACCATGTAATAATATAATCTTTCTTCTCTTTTGACTCTTGCATGAATTTCTCCAGTTGTAGTTCATTCCGATCCGACTTCAAAATTTGAGATCGCAATATCTCTGGAATTCTTTTGACATTAAATGTTCTAGTTTTAGTGCCATTTGAATGAAAACGAGGAATCATTGGAGTAAATTTAATAATAATATTGTGTTCGAAGGAATAAGTGATTTCCTTTATGCTGTTGCTTCATATTCATAGTTTTTGTCATTTATGTGGGAAGATTTTTGTTTTATGTTAAGTTGAAATATATTGTCTGTAGTTGTTGACCCTCCTAGCTAGTTTATCAAATTTTGTGGAAGAAAATAAAATTTCTCTCCAGACATTCTATTTAAATACACAGAATGATCTAATTATAATCATGTCCATGCCAAGACTGAGAGTTAGACCCTACTTGTATTTATTAATTAATTATTTTGAGATTAACCATACCAACATCTTTTCTTTGTTGTCTTTGCTGCTCCTTAGGTTCGAGGAGGAGATAATGAGTCTAACACAGGACCCGACACCCATCGGGGGAGCAGCGCCCAATCGGGAAAGCAACCAGCAGAAGGGATCAAGTTTCCAGTTCCAACCCAGGCAGATGCAAAGACAAGGAGGAGGAGGGGTTCCCAGGGCCCCTGGTTTCCAACCCAGACAGATGGCAAGGCCTGGTAAAGTTTCTCCTCATTTCCACTCTCCATGAAAGATGAAATGTACTGATTTGTTATTTCTTTCTCTCAAGAAAACTTGAATGGTTGAAACAGATTATCAAAGATGGTCAGTACACTCATGGAAAGGGTGTTATTTCAAGTTGCTGGAAATTAGGAAGCATTATTCCTTGTTTTAGTTAGCTTTTGTTTTGTATTGAATCATCTTGTTTCTACATGTACAGGATTAAAAAAAAACTTGTTTTGCAGTTTTTAGATTGTGAAAAGAAGTAAAATTATCTCAAATAGTTTTTGTCTGATATTTAACAATGCTTTTAAAACATTACATTTTAAGTAATTATTTGTGAAAGTACTGAATGAAATGAATTAATTTATTTATTTATCTTTTTATTTACTTCTAATCTTTTGTCAGGGTAGCCCGTTCACCAATAAGTAGTGGTCTTGCATGGGGCCCTGAATAATCATGAACATATTTACATACAAAATCATAACGTTTATGATGAATGGTAATACACTTCGATCAGTAATATTTGTTTTAAGAAACCAATAGAAAGTATTTAATTTGTACATGCTTTCATTTCCTTTGCTGCACAGGTGGAAACATGCCGCCAAGACCGAACAGACCGACAGGGGGGCACCAGGGTTTCGTACCCCACCAGGTACGCTCCAACCAGCGACCCCAGGGTCCCCCTCGGTTCCCCCACCTCCCTCCCCCTCCGCCCCCTCCCCCCATGAACCCTGGAGGTCCAATGGGGCCGATGCACGGTGGCATGGGTCCACGTCCACCTCCCCCCAATATGATGGGGCCCCTCCCGCCCCCGCCCATGCCCCCCTTTGCAATGATGCCCCCAGGCCCCCCTCCAGTGAACGTACGGAAGCCCGTGACTCTGTCTGCCAGGCCTACAACGTATGCGTCAAAACCAGTGATGAATAAGAAACCTAAGAAGAAGCTCAAGAAAGAAAAATCAACAGAGTCAAAGGATCAACCAGCAGCTGAAGATAAAGAAGGTTCGTCTTGTTAATGATGATAATTCAAATCAATTCTCAATGTTTGTAATATCTGTAAAGCCTATAGAGCCGGTACATTTCTTATTCAGCCCTAATGAACTCCAGATCATTAATACTACTAGTATTATTCATATTGTTGTAATTAAATGAATGATAATGATGAATGATAATTTTGATAGTAATGATGGCTTAAGCCCGTTGTGCACATCACATCACAACATGACTTAAAGTTGATTGAAAATTTGATTACTCTGCAAGAAGTGAATTCTACCTGAACAAGGTTCAGTATTGACAATTCAAGGTGTTGTGATTCTTCTAGTCAGAAGAAAAAACCCAGATGGGCTATGATTCTTACAGATGTCATTGTCATACTATTATTACCACCTTACCACCATCTTATAACCTATTTGGCAAGAAAAAACTCTTTCTTTATACTTTCTTCTCTGTAACTACATTTAATACATGCATTTATAATATAATGGCCCTTTAAACAGTTTAAAACACAGAAAGAGGTCAAAATTGAAGATACTAGAGAATTTCATGTGTGATTTAGCAAAAAAATATTTATATTTCAATTTTTTCACGAGAAAAGGCTATGTAATTTTGTATGAAATCTAATTATCTGTCTTATACAGTGAAGACGATTGATGAGCCTCCAGCATTTCCAGCAGTTCCACCTGGCCCCCCTTCCATGCCCCATCCTACACCCATGGAGCACAACATGCCCACACGCTCCCCGATGAGCCTGCCCCCACCCCCTGCTATACCCCGAGCCTTCATCCCCGTCCCCACCCCTGCAGACCTGTCTCAGATCACCCAGGGCGGGGCCGGAGCGTATGAGCTCGGCACAGGGTCGGAGCCTGCGAAGAAGAAGGATAAGAAGAACAAGAAGCACATCAGGGTCGCTGCTGGTACAACGTGGGAAGATGATACCCTGGCAGAGTGGGACCCAAGTAAGTACATTGACTGGTTCATTTGAAGATCATCCTACACAACATTTCGTCCTTGTTTTCACGAAGTGACGGTAGTGAGGAAAATCGTAACGCAAAGCGAATGCAATTTTTTTTCACTACCGTCACTTCGTGAAAACAGCGACGATTTACTGGTGGGTAAAATGCTTTCTGTTGTGTAAATGCATCTTTTAACGGTCTAGGACTTTTGATACTTCATCAGGGGGGAAGGTCTAGGGAAGATCAGGAGCAAAAGTCTGGGAATCTTTTTTCTTCTTGGAATTTTGGGAAATGGGAACCTTGAAGACCATGTTAGTTAAGGCTTGTTCAGACATGATGTGTTTTGTTGTTACGATGTGTTACAGCAGTTACCTTTGATTTACTCTGTACAAAAATGTGGCAGCTTCTTTTTTTTGCGGCAGATGTGTCTGGACAAGCCTCTATTCTGATTTGTCAATATCCTAATTTCTTATGATTTCTCTCATTTCTAACTGTTGAATCTCTGTCTCTCCTCTGATGAACTTGTATAGATGACTTCAGACTATTTGCTGGTGATCTTGGCAATGAAGTTACAGAGGACACACTCACCAAGGTCTTTGGATCTTACCCAAGCTACATCAGATGCAAGGTATATAACAATGATTGTCTGTCTGTTAGTATGTCTGTCCGTCTACCTCTTTGTTTGTCTGTGTATCTGTCAGTGTGTTTGTCTGTATACTTGCCTGTTTGTCTGTCTGTGTGTCAATATGTTTCTCGATCTGTCAGTATGTCTGTCTGTATACTTACCTGGTTGTCTGTCTGTCAGTCTGTTTGTTTATTTGTTTGTTTTAGTGTCACATTCTTGTAAAGGTGAAGGATTTTTTTGTGAGTGCTCATTCTTGTTAGTTCTGTAATAGCATAATGTGGCTTCACTGGCTTGGATTTGCCCAGTAATGTGTCTTTCAAATACGATAGGTTGTTGATAAATTGGTTGTTTGTTTATATATTTCATTCGTTTAGATCATCCGTGACAAGAGGACCAATAAAACCAAAGGCTACGGCTTTGTGAGCTTCAAGGATCCTAGAGACTTTGTTCAGGCCGTCAAGGATTGGAATGGTAAGACCAAATCAGTCATATTGAACTTAATGTTGCTCATTCATGCGTGGGTTTATAGAGGGCAGCACAACTTTTTAAGCACAGGAGCGTAATACCTGTTGTGTCAGTGTTATGTAGTGATCGCCAACTTGTGTACTTTAGGAATGACTATGGCTAAATTCTCATCTTGAAACAAAAAACATGTAACAACATTTTGAAGTTTATTCTCTAGGGAATACAACAACAACGAAAATTTCAGCAAGTTTTGATAGTTTGCGTATATTCTGATGGTCAAAATAGTTTACCATCTGTGCATAACATCATGCAGAATCACTTAGAGCTTGTTTATCTCGAAATGGATCTCAAGAACTGTCTTTAGTATGTATATACACTCTTTGAATTGAAACACCCAATAGTAGGAATAATTACAGCAACATCTAGCGACACCAGTGTGTAGTTGATATAATCTGAGGCATCATGGGAAAAATTGGATACTGTATCAGCTGAGACTACTTTTTGTTATATACCATTGCCCAGGAGATAAGGAAATTTATTCAAATTTTTAAAGTGTTGCGAGCCCCTATAATTTGATGGCAAAATTTCACCTAAGTTGTATCATAATGTGAAAGAGGATGACATTTAAGACACATTTCTGCAAGGATTTTCAAAATAAATGTGTTTGACGTCGCATATTGATGAAAGAATACAAAATTTAGGTTTTCTGTGTACAACGGAAATCCCAAATTATCAAATTTTTGGCAAATTTGGGGCTCCCAACAGTTTAAGAGGGGCTTTAACCAAGGTGAAATTTGCACCAATTCAAGTTAATTAAAACAGTTTGCAAGACTAACTGATGAACCTTCTCTTATTTGCAGGTAAATATGTTGGAAATCGTCCGATCAAACTCCTCAAGAGCACATGGAAGGATCGAGACGTTAGCTCAGTCAAGAAGAAACAAAAAGAGAAGGATAGGCTGGGACTTCGGTGAAGCAACTCAAAACACAAGAGACATTTGAATGATGAGAACAGTTTTGGACGTGTTGAGAGGATCTATAGGTGCTTGAAACAAAATGGCTACCGGTACCCGATTGTTTTGGACTAGAAGGCCAGAGCTTGGGTTTCTGAAACTTTACATCTCGCTCACTCTCACAAGTCACAATATTCAGGAATGCCAGTTTGTTTTCGAGCTATTGTTTGTACTCCCCGATCTGTTGAATATAATTCTGGAACGTGAAGTCATGAAGCCCTCTACATTGGTTTTGTTTAATTTTGTTGCAGAATTGGTTTACTGCCATGTTTCTGGGAGATCCTGGACCTCCTCGATAACGTCTGACAAGTCCCAAACCGCCCAATATATGACTTTGTTCATTCCCCAAGACGAAATTAAGATGGAATTAAAAGAAACAACACACTATTCCGGTAATCATAATATCGACCCCTCTAAATATGTTTTCCTTAAAATTTTCATATTGTTACTTCTGGTAAAGCAAAGAGAGATTAAGATGGCATTTTTATGTTTTTCTTTTATGAGTCTTATTTGATACTTTGAAGATGTTTTATTGTATATGTCACCATAACAATTTTTGTTTTCAGTAAGGACATTTAAAACACAACTTCTCTTAAAGAGGGGAGGGCTATCGAGATATGAGAATGCATTGTCTAAATTGTTCTTAAAGTTTGTGGAAGAGCTTTGAATTAAAGGGGAAGTCTATCTTAATAATAAGTTGGTTAGAAATTAGAAACAAAATTGAGATGATCCGGACAGTGAAAGTCGAGTTAAATCCAATTAAAAATATTACAGAAAGTTATGAATTCTTTTGTGATCAAACACAAATTGGCAACTCTGTGATGTATCTTGCGAGGTCACCTCCCATTTGCTCTTTACTCAGAATTCAGAAAATGTTATTTCCCCTAAAGAAAAATTTTGATAATTGATGAAGCCTAAATGTTATTAAAGCAAATGTTTTAAGGCAACCCCTGTATGAAATTAATCGATTCCATCATCAATCACTATAAAGAAAATGAAAGTTTATGACATTTTTTGTACAAAGCAAATTGGAGCAGAGTATCGCCTATAAGCGTTTCACCAATGAAAACTACAAAAACTCATAACTTTCCTTCTTCTTTTTTCCCGGATATTGCTCAAGCTTTCACTTATTTGTTTCTCTTGTTTTTCTGCTTTAATTAATACCAGATAATTATCAGAGTGGACTTCCCCTTTTAGATTAGTATTGGACGTCATTCTGAAATGATAAAATCATTGACTTAATTTCATGTTTATTTGTACTTTAGCATAATTTCTCTTAAAGAATGTGCATGTTATAGATACAATGTACATAGAAATTAATAAACTTTCTGTTTTATATTTAAACAATTCTTCCTTGTCTTTACAGCAGTTTGTTATTATTATAATTTGTATTAATGGCCATCTGTACTAGTTTGGCCAGAAGTGATTAGACCACACAGCGTGCTCACTGACTGGTGGCTATCTCATCAACTCAGCTCTCAACGAACATTTTAAGAAAAAGAGGATCATGGGGGACCAACAGGCACCGATTGGGGAAGTTTTCTATTTAGAGGGAGCAAGTAGTACAGTGAGGCTTTAAGTAAAAGGATTATGAATGATAGAAGTGATCGGGTGAAAGGAGTGAAGAGGAAATAGAATCAAAGAGAAGAGAGAACTATGAAAGTACATCATGAAGCAAACAGAAGATGGAAAGTGAGATGTTGAAGGGAGAAAGAGAAAGGGAATTCAGCATAAAGGCAGATAATGGGGGAAACATGTTAGGAACATCCAAAGAGTGAAGCATATTCCTATGATCCTTTAGAGTCTCTCCTGGGTTTTTTTTTTCTTTCTTGTTCTTTTATTCTGCCCAAATATGCCGTTTTCATGTATGTGAATTCGTACCATTTCCAAACTAAGAGAAAAATCATACAAGGTACAACACATGTTTGGCACTCAAATCAGCATACTAGTCTTTTCAGTATTTCTCCTTTATGCTATTCAATTTGTCAAGTATATTAGTCAAATTTCTTTCTTCACTATTCGCTTTCACTCATTTTGGATGGTTCTTTCAACTACATTTTGGGCGACCATGTACATGTATGTCCATGTAAATTGTCCCATACTACTGGCTGATACTATCCACACCTTTCTCACGTTCACAACACAACGTCTGCACTCAGTCTTAGACCATACTCATTCGACCTTTCCAAACCTGACCCGATCAGGCTTCATTCCAAACTCATTTCAAAATACTTGTGTAATAAATCTTGTATGCCTTTTAGCATGCCAATGTGTGTCACACCATACCGAGATGATATTTCATTGTCTTGACTCTTTACTTAACTTACACAACTCCAGTGTGCCTTTGATGGCATGAGGAATTCGCTGATGGATCACACATCCTATGAGCATGATCAGCTTGAGTTTGCCAAATAACCCGCAATTAACATGTTAGTTTGCGTCTTCATCAGCCTGCAGTTGCAATTAGTGCGATATTTAGTCGAGATAATATCAAGAGAAATCTTGGTCGTTTCCAAAATATCCTGCTATTTTGGAAATAGCAGGCTAATTTGCGCCTGTCTGAGCTAGTTTATGATGAGCGTATCAGTCTGGTGAAGACGCACCTTCGAGCTTCGGGATAACATCCGAGTCTGAAAATAGCAGGTTATTTGGCAAACTCAAGCTGATGAAGTCAGGCCTATTGAGTCAGGTCGTAAAACTGTCATTTTAACACAGCCATCAAACCATCATCCTAAACCTGCTTACAAAGTACAGACAGAATAGTTCGGTTTTCAATAAACTCTTTAATAAAGTTACAAACTGTGAAATGTGAAATTACACATTTCTCATCCAACCTGATATATTTTCACATGAATAGATTCTCATCTTGCGGAAATGTGCACAAACCATGTTTGGGTTCCACATTCTATGTCACGCTGTATGGATACAGTGTTGCCAATTTAGATACCTGTTACAGTACATATTGAATAATGGGATCATTGGAAGATGTATGAATATTGATTCTCGGGGTACAATTTCTCTTAGTTCCATAGGAATTAGGAATTATGGACATTATCAGGAGTAAGAGCGATGTCAATGTTGACAGTTCTGAACTCCCTTCCTTCTTCTCAATACATATATTGAATCATAATAATTCCACTCAATACATTAGACACTGCATGTGGCATAGTAGAGTCAATTCAAATAAAAATACATGTCTAGATCTCCACTGGCTAAATTTACAAGAACGGGTCGAGAGAGGGCGCTATATGTAAGGGTGTGGTTCATAGTCGGACTTGACATCATAGCCGATGATGCTTCTTCTTCCGATCTGTTCACCGATGAAGAACCAGAACGCTACCTCAGCACAGACCAGCGTGTTTCCCAATGCTTCCTGTGGATGGAGATAGAGACAGAAGAGAAGAATAGTAACAATTCATCAGTAAATAAAGTTTTCAAGTGATGTCACATCTAAACAGAGTAAATTAATTGTTAGGACCTTGTTAAGAAAGAGTGGGGGTTTGGGGGGTGGAATGTTAACCTGAGAAAAAACAGATATACATGTAACAAGATGATTGTAAATGTCCCAAGGTCCTTGTATAACAAGATTCCATCGTAAACACAAAATCTCAAGTGAGGCTTCCAATGCCTCACTAATATCATTATCATTTCTTTTAGGTCTGCGTCTTTAAGAAAATGAACAGTTAGCTCAAAGGCCTTAAGCCCATTTAACCAGAGTCCCTTAGGCAGTGTATATAAATTGTCCCCTTTTTGTTACCACTTTGTTACAAACAGAAAACAGGAATTTACTTGAGTTCTACCAACTATATCATTATATCTATTCTCTTATCTATTTAATTGTCTGCTTTGTTAAAAGGGGCATTGAATAAGCTCCAAGAAAAGTTTGAAAACTGCACAATGTACAATTGCAATCAGGAAGGACACCTGGGACCCATTCACAAAATACCCCAAAAAGTGACAAATCTGCTGATAACCAATCAGAAGCAAGGATATCAGTAGCTTATAACAAAAACTGTCATTTGACACTGATGACAAGTTTTATGAAATGGGACTCTCGCCCTTTATTAGACTTATATTATAAACCACAGGTGTTAATCCCTTTGACAGGATCTATGACCTTGCACAAGGACCAACAGATTGTTACTGGTATTGGAATCAGTCCAGTGAGTCCACCTGTATGACTCATTATATGTCACCCTCTATGTTGAGGCCTTGTCATTGGCTCTCGACGCTATTAACATCGAAGCCAAAATTTAAAACATGACAGAATAATCCCCCTCCTGTCTACAGATTAGTCTTGCGACAATATCACCAACGACAATATTTTCAATGCCATTTAATCCGTCAGCTCTCTTCTAATTATATATGTTTTAGTGTTAAAGATGGTTGGATGCTTGTTTCAATTATTTAATTTTTTTCAACTTGCACTTATCAGAGTAAAATGCAAAAATAAACTATGTAAGTATGTCTTACTCAAAGCTTTCATTTTTATTTGGGTAACTTGTCATCACTTTGTGTGTAGAAGCCATTATGAACAAATAACAATGGAAATTATACTTTCAATTTAATTATTGTTTAATTTTCTTCATTCTTGGTGATACATGAGATAGCAAATGACTAAATAAAATTGAACCTTACTAAGCAGAGCATTGTCCTAACACACTCATTGTGACAAGGTCTTTTGGGTAATACTTGGAAGTATTACATGTTTTTGTCCCTCATACAATGAGTTTCCATGAAAACAAGGACAATTTACTAACTTGCTCCACTGGAGTTTGCAATATTCTACTGTACATTGCCCCGATGTTAATTACCATTAAATTATATATATTCTTGGAATAACATGGGACTTGCAAATCATGATTGAACCTTTCGATAAAGAGCATTGCTATAACAAACTCTCATCACAACACCTTACATTAGAACAAGGTAATTTTGACAAGTTTAAGTCTTTACCTTTTTCCTAATTGTGGTTGATTAATTTGTTTCTTTTGATTAGGTTCGTATTTTTCCCATGAAATAATGAGTCATCAACCAGAACAAGATAATATTCTTGGTCCAAAGGAGTTTGACACTAGATTCTGATGTATTCTGGAATTGACACAAAGCTATACAGACCTTAACTGTCAGGTTGGCGTATTTGCCTGTCTTTGCAGCCTTGACGATATCCATGATCCCCTTCTGAACAGCAGGGAATTCACCTGGAGTAGGTGGGACTAGCTCGACCTTGGCATAGTACCAAAACTTGGCTAACCTTGGCTTGGAAAACTCTACGGCTTCTGTATGGTGGAGTCAAATAGGGAAAGAAAAAAGAAACGTTTGAATGGGTCATCCAACAGCAGGGCTCCACACCTTTATTTTTTGGCGAGGGGGGGGGGGGGATCTGGGTTGAATTTGTTAGGGTTTTTAGTTTGTATGTAACCTTGACTTGGAATACTCTAAGGCTTTTGTATGATGGTGATATCCATTTAAATCAATCATCAATGACAATGACTCAATGTTGAACTGGGACCTTTCTGTCAGACTTGATGTCAGTTTGTATAGTAAATTTGTAATAACTTTTACTTTTTAGGTTTTTAAAGGCGCGCATGTGTCAAGTTAACGACTATAATCTCAGTTTACGGTCGCTAACTGAATACACGCGCGCCCCCACACCCCACTGTAGGTACGTTATGCAATTGTATTGTGCTGCAGTTTGCCGTGAATCCTGTGAGAAAGTGTATATTATAAGTCTTTGTTTTTTAGAAAAATACTCCAAAAAAGATAAGAAAATTGACACGAAACAGGCAACAAACATCAACTTTTAAATCATGACCTTTATTTGGACATTTGATGAATATTTACTTCATTTTGGGTATGTTTTAGTAGATCTAGGGTATCTCCACGCCGGAGTTACGGGTCAAATTTTGGATATGATTCTGAATTAGCGCCCAGCTGAGATCAGCTGGAAGTCTGGAACAGTCTTTCTCCCTTATTCGGCCTTAATTGTAGCCCAACCTTCCTTAAAATACTTCGAAATCTGTGCTTAAAACCAACTTAAAACCAGCACCTTAAGTTGGTGGCCGCACATAACGACCCACCTCCAATTTAAACACCTTTACGGCGTCTTTTGGAGGAATCCTACGGGGGTAATGCTACCAAGTAGGGTCTACCAAAAGAGTCACACATATCATTCATATCAGAGCCGCCTTCACCGGCGGCTTACAACACAAGCACGCATCGCGCATACAGACATCACTCACGCATCTTCTTACTCGTGCAGATTTCAAATGCAAATTACTTCAAAGCAAAAGTATATAAGCAACTTAAATGTTAATAAAATGGATAATTGACTTTTTAAGATATTACCTGAGGCAAGCTTTGGCCCTTGGGTGGCCACGGAATTGCCTAATCTTGTGCCCAAACCAACTACTTTCTGTACAGCACGGGCCATTTTTGCTCTTGCTCGGATCGGAATCGTCAATTGCGCATGCGCAGAATATGATCAAAGGGAAAATGCTGAACCTAGTCCTAGCAGCAGGATTTTTTTTTTTAATCTCAATCTCTATTCTATATTCAAATTCAATTTAAATTTTAAAACGACAACAGAAAAAAGTTTATCATAGTATGGCCTTGGGTTATTTATTAATGGCCAGACTATATTTTTGGTTGAAAGTTGGTGTCATTGAAAAAGTTGTGAAAAGAAAAATACATGTAATGATGTAGGCCTATACTGAATTTGTTTGAATGTTTTCATTTAGTGGCTACACAGTCAACTATTGACCTTCCCACCTTTCTTTAATAATCAGTAAAGTGGAATAGTGTATCATTATCATAATTGTTCATTAGTAAAATCATTAAGCAAAAATATACCACTATTCGTAATGGAATGTTTCAATGTATTATGTAATTGACAAAAGAGGCATGATTTTTTTTTCATTTCATGAGTCTTACATGTCTTCTTAGTTGATATTTGTACACTATACTCTCTTGACCCCCCCCCCCCCCCCCTCTTCTCATATCTTCTCTTCTCCCTCCCACTTTCTCTCCCTTCCTGACTCTCCTCTGCCTGTCCTCTCTTTATATCCTCTTTCATTTCTGTCCTAGATTTTATGTCCCCTCCTCCTCCCCCCCCCCCCTTGTTCTTTCATTCTCCCTTTCAGTCATCCTTCCTTACTCTCTGATCCTTTCTCCTTCCCTTCAACCTCTCTCTCTCTCTCTCTCTCTCTCCCTCCCTCCCTCCCTCTTTCTCCTTCCCTCTCCCTCCCTGCCTCCCTCCTCTCTCTCTCTCTCCACTCCTCTCTTCTCTTTTCTTTCATTGAATTATATTATTTCTGGTACCTGTCATGTTTTTTTAATGATAGAGCATAATAACTGAACACTTAAAAAAAGCAAATTATACATGTAATAGTTGTTTCACAACAGAACAAGGTTGAAATCCTCCGACAGCTAAAAATCATTCCATCAGTGAATGTAGAGTTTACATTTGCTATAAATGTTATAGCACATGTAAAGTAAGTATATGTGTAGTAACAAATGATGCAAATCAAGAGTTTGACATAATCTGTTAAAGAGTTAATTTCATTACAATTACTTTCAACAAAAAAACTATAACACAACAGCAATCTATTTTCAATGTTTATTTTACATCTTTCATGAAGGGAAAACCCATTCAAAAATTGAAATCCACCATAAAACTCTTTTATAAGTATACACTGGGAAAAGAGAGCCATGACACATGCATTCGTAGAAGCTTTTGACTTGGTCTCACAGAATTGCAAATTCTGCGGAGTGCATCCATGTAATAGATGCTATTGGAATATTCTTCACAACTACATGTATATTGGGTCAAGGGTAAACTTGAAATAATCATACATGTATATCTTGGGCATCTGCAAACACAGTTATCACGGACCACAAGTCTGTTTTTTGTAATTTTTTAACATTTTTTTAATTTAGATGTCTGGTTACATTCTATGCATTGTCAACATAATAAGACAATGCAATGAAACGTAAGACAATGTCTTTCAGTTCTATTAAAATGATTCTCTTTATCAAAGCTATTGCTGCCTGATTGCTGTCTACAGTGAAGCTGAACATGACTTTGTAGGTAATGTCCAAGAAAGGCGAAATTGATATCCTCTACTTTTCAGAGACCACTAAAACTTCTCCCCTCCGATCAGGATCTAACAGTCGATGTCCATCAGCCTTCTCCTTGCTTCAGTTCCCATTTGTACAGTCCTAATAAATTTGTTGATAAAGTCCGAAATAGATATCCTCTACTCCTGAAAGACTACCAGCAGTTTAACCCTCAGATCATGATCGAACAGTCGAGGTCGGTCCATGGGTCCTCTCCTTCCTTAAGCTCCTGTTTGAAGTGTTCTGTCCTACTGGCTTAAATTCCTGTTTTTCAAGTCCTAATAAATTTGTTGATAATGTCCAAAATAGATATCCTCTACTCCTCAAAGACCACTAGCAGTTCGACCCTCAGATCATGATCGAACAGTCGAGGTCCATGGGTCTTCTCCTTCCTTGAGTTCCCGTTTGTAGAGCTCCGTCCTGTTCTTCCAGCCGGAGTACCTGACGGTCTGTTGGGTGTCAAGGTAGTAACCCACCAGGGCGAAGGCAGGTGTGATGGCCGCCCACCAGTAGTTCCGGACTATGTTCATCACCATCCTGAAGCTAGCTTTGGTGTCCTGAAAGATACACAGAGAAAAGAAATAATCTTATGAGTTACGAGTATGAGAAACTGTTGTCTGATTAACAAGCATGAAACATTAAAGATTTCTTTTTCTCTATCTGAATTCTGATCTCTTATAGTTATAATTTTTTCTCTCTTTTGTCTTCTTCCCTTCCTCTGCTATGGCCTGCCTACTTTCTCTTTCCCTCAGCATCCCCTTTCTTCTTCTTTTTCTCCATCATCACCGTCATCTTTCTTCTACTTTTTCTCTTCTACATCATCTTTCTTACACTCATCAGCATAATGAAACATTAAAGACTTCTTTTTCTCTATCTGAATTCTGACCTCTTATAAATAAAGAGCTATACTTCTTCCTTTTTTCTCTCTTTTGTCTTCTTCCCTTCCTCTGCTCTGGCCTCTCTACTTTCTCTTTCCTCTCTAGAGATCTACTTTCTCTTTCCCTCAGCCTCAACATCCCCTGCCTTTCTTCTAGTTTTTCTCTTCTACATCATCTTTCTCACACATTATCATCAGCATAATCATCCTTCCTCTTCTTCTTGTTCTCCGCACCTTTGAATGTTTTTTTAAACAGATAGTTGGGCGCCATACAAATGCTGTTCATCATCATCGTCTTTCTTCTCGTTCTCATCATAATGTTGTTGGCTAGCTCTTCGATCTTCTTCCTTCTTCTTGTTCTTTCCTAGTTTAAATAAGTAAGTTTAAACAGATTCTAGTATTCTACAGTCGCTAAAAGACTAAATTATCTTAGATGGATAGGCTGAACACTCCAACAACACATAAAAGTCATTACGATTTACTGTCATCGAGAGTTAGCCCGAGCACCTCAGCGCGGCAGCAATCATTCAAGCCGAGAGTTTAGCGAGAGAGGATTTTGGAATTCCGATAATAATCTGAAAACAGAGCAGAAGTGTCTGGTCGGTTTAAGTTCTACTTGATATTTAATACTCCATTATCTTTCTTTCATACGTACCAGAAAATAATGTTAATTAAGGTGTTGCTGCTGCAAGGAACAGATCTCCAGCCAAAAAGGCTATTTTCCTAGCCAAAGTGGGGAGGAATTCTCCTTCTGTTTACGGACTGGGCCTAAAATGTGTGCAAAGAAATCGTCTAGGTTCTATGCCCAAACAAACTCGTCCTTTTCCTGTTTTTATTCTCGTCCGCCTGTGTCGTACCCTCTCCTAGATAATACGGACGCATATCTTTTTTGGTGTGAGCATTTTTTCCCTCCAAAGACAGAATTAAACACATTATTGGTGAGACTGAGGACAGTGGCCTTTGTCAGCTAATGCGCTTTGGATGTGATGATAGAATATTTTTCATCGTTTTGCAGTTTAATGGCCAATGTGTACTACTACCTCTGTACACAGGGGCGGCACCAGGTTGGGGGCGAATGGGCGCGCCACGCAGCCGGGGTGTCAGAAGTTGAAGATTTCTTTTTTAATTGATGCTTAAATGGTTCGCTTTGGTGCAAACTTTTTGCCAAATTAAAAAGAAAACAGTCTTTAGTTCAACTAACATGGCAAGAACGCGGGGGGGGGGGGGTGTTACCAAATTTTTCAGAAGGGTTGTTAAAGATGAATTTGTCGTTTCCATTAAACAATAGGCCATAAGGTTTAGGAGATACAAGGCATTAATTTTATTTTTTTCAGTTGGTGAAAGGTTTTTCATCGTAAACCAATGTATGAACTTCCGGTAATGTGAATCTATAATGACGCGTCTATTAATAAAATCTGATCGCTAGCTGATTGGGCTTGCTTTTTCTCTCTTTTTCTTTATTTTCTCTATCTCTATTTTCCCCTCCTCCCTCCCCCCCCCCCCCCCCTTGTGTCACAATTTACAATTTGTAGTTCTCTTTCTCCTTGCCTTTCTCCTTCTCGTCCCCTTCCTTTTCTTTTCTTCTCCTTCTTTTCCTTTCCTTTTTCTTCTCCTTTTCCTCTTTCTCCTTCAGTTTTTCAAAATGATAGGGGGCGCACCCCCTGCCCCCCCCCCCCTGTGGCGTCGCCGCTGCCTCCGTACATTGAGGCGGGTACAGTAGGCCCAGCAGTGGGGCACCATAAAGAGGGAATGTGTTTTTGTTTTGTTTTTACCTCTTTTGATGAAATTATAGTGACAATATGGTTTATTCTTTATAGATTGGTGAAGTGTGACGTCATCAAAAATCTAATTTTTAGAATTTCTCAATTTTTTCATCATTTTCTGAAAGAGCATCAAAAATAATGTCCAAATGTTTAACAACTAGGAGCCAATTGGTTTTCGACATTTGGAAATTATTTTTGATGCTCTTTCGGAAAATGAAGAAAAAATTGAGAAATTCTAAAAAAAAAATAGATTTTTATGACGTCACAGCTTCGGCACTCTATACAGTTTACATCTTCTCAAAACTTCATTAACTTTGTGGCTATTTAGATTATTCAACGGAGTTCTGAGAAGATTGTAATAATTATAATCATTTCATGGCTAAGCTAAAGAAAAATTATTCCGACTTTATTGGCAACAGTGTAATTACATTGATTTGATTAATGTCACTGTAACAACATAGTTCCTGAATTACACATAATTCGGTTCCTAATGTTGAGAAATGACTCGTTTGCTGACTTTGCTCACGTCATCAAACCAACTGTTTGTCTATTTGCATATAATGTTGCATCACCTCACTAACTCATATCCTCTTTATTCCGTACAGATCAACTTCCTTGCCATATTGCATGAGTTCTAATCCCAGCTGGATCATATTGGATTATTTGCAGTCAATTAATAAGATTAAGCTTTGATCCCTTTTTCTTCGACTAACTTCTCGTGTACTACGTTCATGATAATTCCTTTCTTGTTGTTCATGTGTTGTTTTTTTAAATAACAATATCTGATATAGAGACAATGCTTATAATGTTATGCAACTTAAAGGGTCTATGTCCCACTTTTTTCAGGCAAAAAAGGTTAAATTCCAACGGCATTTGGGATGGTGGTGGTTATTTTTTTTAATAATTTCATCAAAAAGGGTGTTTTTTTTTTAAAGTCATTCCATCTTTATGGACTATCGATTGTAAGGTGCCCCACTGATAGGCCTACTGTATTCGCGTCACTTCGGAGGTAGTAAAACTGCAAAACGATGAAAAATATTTTATTTGAAAAGTACTAATAATTTAGAACTTCCCTCAAAACGAAAGGGCTTGAAAATGTCTTTTTAGTGGAAAATTAAAAACCGTTTGTAGTCGAATCGACTTTAGGGATTGCAATCCTTTCAGTACATATTCTGATTTTCATGGATCCGCCCCTGCATACCTTAAACGGAGTATAGAAATATTATATAGGCATATATAGTCAGGGGGCCAAGGGGACGCATGCCTGAAAAACCCCACCTCCATGCACCCATATGCCCCCGCTGTAAAGATGGACTCTGTGATTTCGTTTTTCACTCCGTCTGTGTCACCCCCGCCCCTTAAAGAAATCTGGCTATGCCAGTAGAAACAAGAGGTTGGTTTTCAGCACCGTCATAATGGTTGGATTTCAATTTAGTTTTCTTGTAATTCTTCGATTGCAAAGTATTATGTGAAATCATCTGAAAGCAATGAATATGACTGTCATAATCAGAAAGCATGACATCCGCGTAACCGACAAAATCCAGTGGGCAATGCCACTGGGGAGGCGTAGTTCTAGAGGAGAGGGACGAAGTGGGGTGACCCCCCCCCCCCCTCCAACAAAAATATGAAGACAGAAAGAAAGAATGAAAGAGAGCTAGGGAGAGATCGAGGGGAGGGAAAATCAAGAGAGGGGAAGGGAAAGATAAGGGGGATCGAGGTCCGGAGCTCGAGAGAGAGATCGCGAGGGCCGGGGAGGGAGGGAGAGATTGATGGGTAGAGAGAAAATTAATGAGAGAGGGAGTGAGAAAGGAGAAAGGACGACTCAGGAGAGAGAGAGAGAGAGAGAGAGAGAGAGAGAGAGAGAGAGAGAGAGAGAGAGAGAGCAAGGAAAGGGTTGCGAAGATGGAGGCGGTGGGGTGGGGGAGGTTGAAAGGCGATGTGAAAAGGATACAGATTAATTTGTTCTTGTCCCTTATACTTGGCCTAATTCTCTTCTACTAACACAACTATTCAACGTCTCCGGTGATGACCCCCCCCCCCCCCCCTCCCCCTCCTGTCATCAGTGCATCGCCAATAATGTTAGCCCACGCCACGTACGCCTTTGGAGGGGAATCAGATTATAATGCTGTATAATTATTATGACCCAAAATACATTGAGCCGTGAATTATTTCGTCCAATGGAAGGATCATTTCCGTTACACCCGATTAGGTTTTAACTGGAAATAGTGATTTGTCATCTTTGATTTTGGAGCGTTTATAACTAATCTATCTAGGCCAATTGCCTTGAATGGCTCTCATGTCTGTTCCAATTTTTTTTTTCTTCTTCACGTGTTGCATGTATATAAAATCATACGGGGTTTTCCTAAAATAATGTTCCATTTTAGGGCTTTGCTCTTTCTCATGAATAGATTATACAATACACGCAGCACGTATTGTACAAGACAAACAAACCATAATTTTGTTTTTAATTTATAAGGTCGCCATGGAGATCTACCTAAAGGACTAAGCTATACAAAGGGATGCAGTTTTCTCTTTCACTTTTAGGGATGGATTTATGGATTTGGATATCAATTGATATCAAATTAAAAGCATCCACAAGTATAGTTCCAGGAATTCACTAAACAATCATTATTAAGACTATATAGCTTAATATTGTTCTACAAATTGTACCCGAGACATTGGGTTTTACGCCTTCCTCTTTGTTGCAAAACTGTTCGATGTGCTCTTTAAATTATTTATGTAAACTTTAGTTATTTGAGTATTTGTTTTAAAATATGAAAACGTTGAAGAAATCAAAATAATGATACTTTTAATGAGAAAAGTGGACATGTTTCATTGTATTTGCTATCTAGTTGTGATCACAATTTGTATAGTATACTAATCGCAGTTAAAATAAATCATTTTTTTATTTAGTAAATGTTTATATATTAAAAAGTTGCCAGGCTTGACTAGCACATGTGCTATTTTGATCCCAAGTACCAGGTTTTTATAATCATCGATTCTGTATAACTTTCATTGTAAAGAATATATTTTTATACATGGTGTATAATAATGTTGTTGTTGTTGTTGTTTAAAATCATTCGATAAAATAATATACTCTGACATGACAACCTATCTGCCATCGCTGATATAACGATATAATAATGAAAAATACTGAAAAAGGAACACACGTAAAGAAAAACTGTTAAAGAGAGAGACAGAGAGAGACAGAGAGAGACAGAGAGAGAGAGAGAGGGAGAGGGAGAGGGGGAGCGCAAGAGAATGGGAGAGAGATAGGGAGGGGTGGAAGAAAGAGAGAGGAAAATGATGACTTCCGTTGCAACAACAAACACAAATTTGATGGTGGAAAAGAGCCACTATTTTTAACATAACTAGTATTGATGTTTTTCTTCTCCTTGGACTGAGTAAATTATTCCACACAAAAATTGCGAAAATATATGACGGCTAAACGATGATTTCCGGCAATAAGTGCGAGATTCAGAAACTATATATCCCCAGCAGCAGGCTCTGCTAATAATAATCTCGTATAAAAGGAGAAGTTTAAGCTCTGGTATAAGGTAAAAAGAAAGCAATTTGTGTGCTTTCTCGTTCGTTTCATGTAAGTTTGGAGTATCAGAGAGAATTTTCCCCTGTATACTAAAATTGCCCCTCAATGCAGATGCCCTGATGTATTCGACATTACGACGAAAATGTATACTGACGAAAAAATACGACGCTCTTGAACTTGCCAGAGGATTGATTTGTTTTGAAAGGTCCCGCGATCGTTTTACGTATACATTATGCCCCCACCCCACACACACACACACACAAATCTCGTGGTTCGCGAGGACTCCGCCCCCGGCCCGTTTTAATTTCTGGATACGCTTACTGTGGTAGGTATATAATTCACTAAAGTTGTTCAGGGGGGGGGGTCACAAAGATCCTAAGTCGAACTTGACTCTAAGTTAGACTTAAACATTATGGAGAGCCATTAATAGCCTTTAAATAAAATATTTTCAAAAGCAAAAATTGAATTATTTTAGACTTTTCATAAATTCTACATCAAGAACATGAAATCTCCTTCAATAATAGAAAATATGAATGATTTGAATCAACCTTTTATGCCTTTTAAAAAAACTTTCACAAAATATTTTCTAAGATGCTAACAACTTTCCATAATTGTTAAGTCGACTTAGAGATAAGTTCAACTATAGGATCTTTGTGAAACGCTCCCCAGGTGCGTCAATTTTCTATAACATTTTGAACAGGTTATAGGTGTCATAGCAGGCGCGGATCTACGGGGGGTTTAGGGGGTTTAAACCCCCCCCCCTTGGGCGGCCCCCCCCAAAAAAAAAAAAAAAAAAAAGGGAAAAAAAAGAGAAAAAAAGAAAAAAGAAAAGAAAAAAGAACGCACGCTGGAGAGAAACCCTTTCAAGTGCAAATATTGTGAGAAGATATTCAACTCATCTGGTAACTTAACCAAACACATGATAACTCTGGATATAACTGTGTATTTAACTGTTACTTGATTTAAAAAGACGTTATCATGCACTGCTTTTTATGGTCTCCATCGTCATTATTTTATTTAACTGTTACTTGATTTAAAAAGACGTTATCATGCACTGCTTTTTATGGTCTCCATTGTGTTAATAGATGCCAGGAAAACATCACTTACGGGGTTCAAATAAACACCCACAAAAAAATCGGCTCGCCGCTTCGCGGCTCGTGGACGATGCTCCGCATCGTCATTATTTTGGTCAACCCCCCCCCCTTAGCAAAAAGCTAGATCCGCCCCTGCATAGTAAAATCTATCAACAAACTTTGTGTGCATCAAATATTGACAGGAGCCAAACATTAAAGATTGCCTTACAGCTGACTTTGAAACTTTGCTAACAACTGCACGATTGTCAAACACAATTTCAGAATGTTGGATACATGTGTCAGTAGGCATCCTGTTATGGGTTAGGTTGCCTATGGGTATTACGACATTAATTTGCGTCAACTCCCACCCCCCCCCCCCCATCACAGCCGCAAACAACTAAATAACCCCTGCCCTTTTCTTTTTCTCTCCTAAATTTTGCCCACGCTATACTTGGTACCCACTTCTAATTGACTCTTGATTATGAGTACCATTTAAAAATATATATTTTTTCATTTATTTACTTCCGTGACAACATAATCACGTACATGACCCATTGATTCAATTATTAACATAGATCCCTCGGAGAGGACCTTAAGCCGTCGTTTATCTGGTTGCTTATACAAGCATTTATGTTTTCTTATATAGCAGTCAGGTAAAATAACCACTACAACTACTAGATCAGTGTAATCAATTCCGGTAGAAAACACTTAAAAGCAAAACGGATCATATTGCACTTAATATATATGCGGGGCAATGCTTTTGAGGTGCATGCCCCCAAGATTGAGTTGAGTCATAATTCATGGGTTTTGGTCCAACAATGTACTTTAGCAACAGAGTTTTAAAAATGGGAAAATTACAAACTTTACAAGGTTTAAATTATGATATAGATCTAATTGATTTCTCACTTATCTTTGTCCCTGCCCTATTTCCCATTTTCATGCGGTAGCCAAAAAACGTCTGGCTTTTAATTCTGCACTGATTTGTACCCGCATTAATATCTATCCCTTCCCGGATGCAGAAAAAGCGCGCGCAAATCACAAACCAAAGATATAAGTCAGCCGACACCTTTCGCGTAGAATAGTCGTAATCTTTTCCCGCTAAAATCGGCGGAACTCTTCCCCATTACACGTACCGCCACAATCCTGATTAATACGTCATTGTTTTAGGGGTTGCTAGTAAACAGTCACGCTCTGGGTGCATAAATAGACAGAAGTCAGAATTATTTTTATCCAAATAAGCATCAACTGGAACAAAAGCTGTTGGAGCTTGAATACAATTATAACTCGACAATAAAACCAATTTGTTTTAGGTTTGCCACTCAAATCACGCTCTGGGTGTACAATAAAACCAATTTGGATTGAAGAGCTTCATTTCATTTTAACCGAGCGCCTGTTAGCCTCTTGAATATTCAGTTTGGAAACTGACTCGCTCCAGCACCAACATTCACAGTAAGTTTTCATCGTTGTTAATATTTGAGTGAGCTTAATTTTGATTAAAGAAAATGTCATGTATTCAAATTGTTGTTATCATTATAACTTGCAAATATTTACAGTTCAACGATTTTCATCATACTGTTATAGGTTGAATCGTTCGTTCGTGTCTCCTTAGATCAAGATTAATGCATCTTGATCTTCGAAGTAGTTGCTACAACTACTTGTCAGACACGTTGCCCCGGGGTGCGAGATAGGTTGAGTTAGCTTGACTAATTTGTTAATTCTTAGTTTGAGTAAGTAATTCTTCAAGTCTTAGTCGTGAAAGTATAAAGTCGCAATATATCTGTTTTATATTTGCACGAGTGCAATTCTTTCTGTGAAGGAAGTATTTCTCACATTTAGACTTCTTAAGTTGATAGAAGTTGATGATTTTATCATATGACATTATATAACTATTATTTCTTTTCTTAGAACTTGCAGAGAAATTATGTCCAATTTAACATGACGTTATCATAGGTATAAATTGTCTGCTTAAAAACATCGATTGTAGATTATAGACCCTCCTGCAACATCCGAAATGAGCACAATATTCGGTGTAAAGTATAACGCTCAATTAATAATTGAATATTATATTCAACGATATTCGATTGACTGATTGATTGATTGGTTGATTGATTGGTTGATTGATTGATTGATTGATTGATTGATTGATTGATTGATTGATTGGTTGATTGATTGATTGATTGATTGACTAATTGAATTTCGTTTTGATTATAAGTATGTTCATGACACATATTTTTTTCAATAATGAAATAGAACAATGTAATAAAGTGGTATATCAAACAAAAATAGAAATATTGACAAGCTAAGAATATTATCGGATTATTATTGACCTAAACGTATACAATTTGAATCCATTCATGTTCATAATTATATGTTATGCTATATCTTTTTTTTAATTATTGTACTTGCTACTTCTAAAATCAAATTTATTGAAAGTATATAAGAGACAATCCTCAACAACAAAACTGGCTAAATTTAATAAATTAAACCCTTAAACACAGATAATGCACTTTTGGGTTTATGTAATTTTCAATAAAGTTCTTATTTCCGTTTTATCATCTCTCTGAGCATGCTGTTTAATATGCCTCAATTTCACAAACTTGGCATAATTCCTACTGAACTTCGTTTCGCATACTACTGTTAAATAGTCTAAAAGTCTTTGTTTTTTATTTGATTAAGATGCTTCATAGCAGGTGTACATATTTTATCCTGCGTGTCAAAGAAAAGGAATGGGGCCAAATTCCTTTCAAACATCATTAAGCCGACACCCATCATGAAGGGAAGTACCAGAAGTGTTAATTAATTAGTATTGTCCTGGGAGAAAAATATGGTGTTTTGCTGTACGGCTTCGTCGCATTTAGAAAAGAACGTCAAATTCAGATTTATATTTATCATGATTTGAGCCTGCCCAGTGTATATATTTTTATTGAATTTGATTTAATCGGTTCATCAAAAACAATATGACATTTAGGTTCAAGGCTGACATTTTCTGGGTTTTTTTTTTACAAAGAAATCAGATATTTACGTTATAACCCAAACATCAACATACAAAAGTCATGTAATAATGGTAACATCATACTTTAAGAAAGATTTAGAAATGTATCAAAAATGTGAATAAACATATCCCTTTAGACAATTTTATTTGAGTAAGAGAAGGGAACCTATACCGATGTAACACATAAATGTGGAGAGCCATCGACAATGTCTAACGAAAGAAATGAAATCCGATCGCAAAAAACAACCCGAAGTAGTCCCAATTAGCCAATAGCCCCCCCCCCCCCACCCGAATCAGAAAAATACATGCTTATTATTGTAATTTTACAATTCTGTCATAACCGATTCATTTTGTAATTGTTACATTACATTAACGACGTCATCAAAGATTTTTTTTTTTGGTATAGGATACCCGAATTAAAGGGGTATTTGAACGATTTCAAAATATGACGAGAAATCTTAAAAGTTTGGACCAAACTTTCATGACACATTATTTTGTGTGTAGTCCCATGCGAATCCGTTTCCGTGTGCAAAGAATGTGATTTCTACCACGACTGAGTCATTATTTGTCATGGTGATCATTTTGTTTAAAAACACAGTAGGCCTATACGTCACTAATTATTAAAAAATACGTTAATCAGCATTTCTCAATTGCTTCCAGAAGGTTACTTACACAATGTAATCGCAATTACATAACGTTATATCTCTAAAGGGAAATCCAACCTTGATGGCAAACTACTCAGCAGAGGAAATTAGAAAAAACAGGGAAGTAAACGGTGGTTTTGGCTTTCAAATTGGCTGAATCACACAACTTTCCCCATTTGATGACTAAACGTTAATTTTACCAAAAAAGTATGACTCATGAAGGTCTATTCTCTGAGTACCTATGATAATATGATATCCATGATATATTTTGAGTAGTGCCCCAAGGGAGAATACACTTAAGAGAAACACAATAATAAACTATATTTTTGTTCACGCCAAACGTGAGAGTTATCCGCGACTACGTCACAATCCACTGATCACACTGCCAATATGGGATTCGCATAGACTGAGTGATCTCATGTTTAAAATATTCATAATTTTCTTATTTTTGATCCTATTTAATTCAGACTTCCCCATTCTGTGTATCTTATGTTCTGCTTTCATACCAATGAACTTATTACAAAGTTTGGGTTGCTCTTTATAGCTAATAACGTATGATTAATGAGCTGCATGTATCTCTTCTCGTGAAAAAGCTGACCAGGGATAATCTATTGTCTACACTGTGTATTTCCGCCGTATCAAAATATTATCAGGCTTGCATTTAATACGAATCCCCCCCTCTCTCTCTGTCTCTCTCTGTGTCTGTCTGTCTCTCTCTCTTTGTCTCTCTCTCTCTCTCTCTCTCTCTCTCTCCTCACTCTCAACAATAAATTACAGTGGTGAATCCAGGATTTTCTGGCAGGAGGGGGGGGGGGCACAAGTCCGCATTCTGTGACAATCAACAGAAAGAAAACAAAACGAAACGAAATGAAAAACAAGGTTTTGGGTGTGCCGTTTGGCTACAAAATTCTGTGACAAGCAAAAAAAATAAGGAATACCCTTTTTTTTGTTCCTCCTTTCCCCATCTTTTTATTTGCGCCCGAAGAGGGGGTCCTGTGCCTCAAGGATCTGCCACTGAATTAAATCCCCATCGCGATACAACCGTGGCGTAGCCTCACCCCAACCACTGAAGGGGCTATTGCATCATCGGATTTTCTTTTTCTCCTTTTCCCTTTCTCGGACCAAATTTTGCCATTCGATGGGATGGGTGAGGGGGTGGGGGTAGAGGGAGCACATACCCCCTTGCTTCCCGTATGGCTACGCCCCTAAAGATGCGTAATATTTATTCACGGACAATGTCATAATAACAGTTATGATAAGAGTCCTTTCATTTCATTCCATATCTTAAAATAATCATCGATACACAAAACACCAACTTTAAGAAGAAAAAATCAAACAAAGTCATGTCAGATAATACCAATCTCAGTGAAACTACAAAAAAAATTCTTTATTTCAGAATACGTATTGAAATGGATGTAAAGTTCAGTGAACTATAATGATAACTGTCGGCCACAGTAATTTTACTTTGAGAGTGAACAAGACAGGGGAGCATTCAGGATTTTTAATCTTTATTGGCAGTTGACCTTTTGTTGGATTATATCTTTTCGTGCTCTCCGTTACATAAGCAGAAACAAAAGTCGTAAATGAAAGAGCAAATGCGTTTTTAATACTTCTGCAACTCTCAAATAAACACATTTTGGTGACTTTCAGGAAAAACGATTTATATATTTATTCATTTTTTTCCTCTTCTTCTTTTTTTCTTCCAGCTTGCTATAAGCATGATAAGATAACTTTGCTTTCTTTCTATATATTTCCTTGTTTTGTGTGAGTGCGTTTCTAGTAAACGCCCTTGAGAGTGTGTTAAATTTATCTGCAAATTGTATTAATCTCTTATTCTCGTTTATTGTTCCTTTATTCCCTTTAAATGACCCTTCCGAAAATTTCCTTTTTCATATTTATTATCGACACAAGCATTATGATTGAGAAAGGGCGAGTTATGCATTGTTCTTTATAATGAGACGGATTTTCATATAGGTCAGTATTTAGTTTCTGTTGGTTACGTGATTATTCCAAACACATTATTGTGTAGTGGATTTTATTTTAGTCACGGGTGAAAAATTGAAGAACACCTTAAAGGTAAAGACCAGTATTGGAAACGCCCCAATTTCAAAAAATGAAATGGAAGCTCTCATTACCAATCATGTGAAAGAATATGTTTTGACTAATACATGATGATAAAAAACCGCCTACTAATTCATACATTTGGTAAATTTGTTTCTCTCATGGTCTGTGAGAGATATAGGGTAGTCCCATATACATCTTTCTGTGTATAGTGCTTGTAACTTTACGAAGAATGGGCCAAATTTCTTATCATTTTGATGATTCCAGAACCTTGCAGATGCTAGATGCTAGATGATCAACCTTTTCTGATCGATTCCACAACCGTTGAAACGTTACGTTTCTTTCACAATGCAATCGCATGACCATAACTGGTCTTTACCTTTAATGATTATTACGACACCATCTTTATATCTTATTTCTTTTCGTTTTGCAGATGGCAGTACTTCGACTAACGACGGTTTTAGCTCTTCTTTTCTCAGTATGCTTGTTATTCTCAGCGGCACACGGTAAGTGTTAATTAGTTTTATACGACACGTGCTCCGACGACAATGCTCCGCGCTCAAATTTCTAAAAGACTAAACAAAATTCTGGACCTCAAAAGCCTGCATGACCTGACGCTAAACCTCTATAACCTTAGCACAAACCTAGCATATACGACCTAAATAACAACCCCAAAGCTTACCCTATACCAGTGTTTTGTGAAAAGGGGGTGGGGGCATAATTAATATATTCCTAAACAAGTTGCTGACAACAAGCAAAAAAGAAAGACAGATAGAGAGAAAAGAAAAGAGCCAAAAATAACAACAACAAAAGCAAGAAACAAAGCTGGATATCTCGGTACCATTATGAACCAAAGGTATGCCACTTAGGTTTCAAAAGGTGTTGTGCCCCCCCCCCCCACCCCTCAAAAAAAAGTCAGCCAGTGCCTATTATCTCAAGGAATAATACCCGGATTATGGGTCGGCGGAGTAAAGTGTGTCGTATTATAGAATATTTATACATATTTTTAAATTTTGATAATTACCAAATAGTTTCCACCCCCTTTTATAAAGCTACGTTTACTACGAGCTAATACATTGATGCGAAATAAATTGGACAAAGCTAAACCTACACGAATGACGTAATAAGACCTAAAAGTCCCTATCAAAACATAAAGGCATCCACCGATTAATGGATAACATGTTAAAGAATAAAGATAATTCGTATTCAATGTTTTAATAAATATTATTGTGCAGTCGTTTTTTCTTAATCTTTATGTGCAGTATTTGTTCTTATTTACTGTGAAATTATATGAATGCTATACTAACTTGACGAGATTCGATATATAATTCATGAATAATGATTAAGAAAATCGAAACTAAGTATATCAAATATATTCAACTAAGTCGATTAAAAGTTCATGCCACAATTTAATTCTTAATAATAATAATAGCTCGTTCTTACATAGCGCTTTTCAGGACCGGAGGCCCTCACAAAGCGCTTTACAGATAAGTATATTATTACCCCGGTCATTGGATTCAGGCTTACCCGCACACAATGTATGCACATTCTCCACTCCCTGGGGAGCATTCCAGCCAGGCGTCATTTTTTTTTTTACATGCGCACACTTGCTAATCTAACCACATTAGCTTTCGCATCCTACCGGGTACCCATTTAACACCTGGGTGGAGAGTGGCAAATGTAGATCAATGTCTTGCCAAAGGACATTAGTGCTGCGGCGGGACTTGAACCACGGACCTTGTGATCCACAGTCCGGCGACTTATCCACTCGTCCACAACACCTCTACTTCTTGACCTTAGAGGGGTCAAAGGGGGTTGCATTTTCATCTGAATTTACCCTCTTGCAGATCAAACCAATTGACCTTATACATAGGTCGTACTATATTGTTTACTACACAATTATAATGAACAATCAAAAGTAACAATCAAAATATAGAAACTGCAAGGCAACGTAAAGTACATCACTATCTACAATTAACACCTACAGCCAGTACCTTAAATCGATGGCGTAGCGTGGGATCAGTCATTGAGGGGCTCTTATGTCATGGGGGGGGGGGCGCTTCGAGTATTACGCAGTCGATGAAATGCGGTAATGTAAGACCATCGAAAGGTGTTGTGAAAGATGGTGGAGGGGATCATAATAATAATCACCATTGACGTTGCCTTCCACATCCCACATCGCGCTTTCTTTCTCTCTCTTTACTCCCCCCCCCCCCCCCCCGCCCTCCCCTTCACCAAAGAAAGGGAGGGCACGAACCTTTGGCTTAAATTGCCATATTGCCATGAACTTGACTCGGCGCTCTAGATTCTCAATGTTATAAAATAATTATGAAGGATGACACGACCTTGCCTAGGCCTGTCGTCTAGGCTCTCAAACAGCTGTGCAACACGTGCTACTCGTGCCGCCAAAATAACGTCACACAAAGATCTAAGGACACATGGGGCACTACCCCCTCCCCCAACAAAAGCCAACCTTACATATGCACATACCCCCCCCCCCCCCCCCCCCCCCCCTCCCCGCCGTACCAGCATTGGCTTTTTGTGATACTATACTGTTTAAATGTGAGATAGATTTTTTAATATTTTTTTTTGGAAACTCGGGCATTAATCATACCTTACAGAAGTCAGAAAAAATATCAAACGATACGCGTTGCCTCAAGTGGGAATCCACCCTGGTATCAAGTTGGTTCTAATAAAAGCAGAAAATGAGAGAAATAATTTAGTGAAAGTGTGAGTATATTCCGATTAAAATAAGAAAGTTATTATTTTGTTAAAGTTGCGATCAATCAAAATACAAATTGGCAACTCGATCTTGCGAGGTCCCCTTCCAATTGCTACATAGGTCATACTAAGAAGGAAAAATGGGAGAAAAAAGAAATTCGTAATTGAACATGCCCCTCAATTTAATTATTGCAATATGTTTCTATACAAACCCTGTATGGACAAAAATCTATTCCGTCATTACTAACGAAGACAAGTAAATTTTATGAAATTTTCTATCAAAACCAACTTAAAATCAGGGTGAACTCCCCCTTTAACTCCAACTCTATATAGACACCGCGAAATCTGGATTTGGGACTTAAAAACTATTATGTGGCATGAAATTTGGTCTAAGCTACTTGTTGTGAGTCATAATATTACGAGTATCATGGCATTCGAAGAGCAGTCCTTTTTTCAGGGAACCTTTACTTCCTGTGGGTTTTTTTTCCGAACTGACGTAAATGAAAAAAGGGAAAGCTCCTAAATAATTAGTTGCCGTCCTTTACAAGAACTTTGACATTTTTGACAAATTAAATCCTGCTGTCATGTCAAATCATCGAATACGGTGTTTGAAGCCACTCCCCCCCCCCCTCCCTCCCTATATCATAATTATACAACGGTTATTCATCCGTCCTATTCACTACCTCTCGAGTCCTCCTTAAATCCTTGGGTTTATTTTTCATGAGATAATCATGAAGGGTTTAGTTGATCTTTTTTTCAAGTTCATCCATTCATAAAATCGCTAGACACTAGAGAGAAGGATCGAAGGTTGTCGTTTTGCCAATAATTAGCGATTAAGTTTTATGAATTGGTTTCTTGCGACTTACGCTTGATTGCCAATTCGTTTTTTTGTATACAACCTGGAAAATGTTCCAAATGACTTTGAAATATTTTTAACAATTTTGTCTCACTTTTTTTGTAAATATTGTAATAACCGTAATCTAATTTCGTTGAAATTCTTCTTCCCTTGGAAAAAAAAAATCAAAATGAAACAAAACCACACTTAAACAACACATTTCGATGCTAGGAAATGGGATTTTAAAAAAATTATTTGCTCATAATTATGTAGGACGTAATCTTTTTTTTGATAAATGATACATACAATATCTTATTAACTGTAAAGTATTTCCCAATGTCCTATTATTTTTTTCACATTATCCTCATCTATTGCAATAACCTACATCATCACTGATTAATAGGACACTGCGTACAATTATTTTTGTTTTAATATTTCAACCCACTGCAAACTTTGAATTTATTTGACCTTAAAAATTGGAGTCTTTTGTTTGAAAAAGTGCAGTATCATAACCTTCTTTCAAATGAATTTTAAACAAATTCAACCATGACTGTTAAAACGGAAGTGGGAATCTTTTGGAATAAATTACACCTTTACCAGGTGAACCATGATACTATTTGTTAAAACAAGATCTCAACCCAATTAAATATTATTCTGTATTTATTTGACCTCCAAAAGTGGGTTTCGTTGTTTACTGAATGCAGTAATGCATCCCGTTGTCAGGTAAAATATTATTCATACCCGGAAATCATATTATTTCCTTATTTTTGTTTTCCACCTTCAATTTTGTGCAAAGAGCGTTTAACTGACTCATTGTTTAGGTGTTGCGTATAATTATATTGATATTCATGACGTTAACCACGTAACACAGAAAGCTTGCATAAGAAGCATTGAAATCTGATTCATCTTAATCAGCTTCACTTCCGATGTAAACAAAAAAAAATCTGGGGAAATGTTATCACTCTAAAGTGGTGAACTTTCTAAGTACAAGTAATTGATTCTTTTATGTAAAGAACCGGAGCATTATGCAAGCTGATAGTGCATTCTCTGTCTTGGAAATGTAAAATATGATAATATTACAGAAGTCAATAATCGAATCAAATCAAATCAAATCAAAAACAATTTTGTTTTCAGAATCATAATCAGTCGCGATTGTGAAATCCATTTATTTTCTTGTTTTAAAATTAGTTCCACCTGCTTTAGAGACCATCTGTATTAGTTATAGAAAGACCGCTTGTCTGTAAACACAATGTTCAAGATTAAGTTTTTTTTTAAATCAATTCCAAAAGTACTATTAGTCAAGCCATGCAATTCCTTTAAAATTTTACATAGAAAGACAGAATACATGATGAGGAAACATTAAAGCAATGGTTCTGTCAAAGACAAAGTCTTGTCGAGTCCACTTAAGTACCAATGTTGGAATGAGAGAGTGAAAACAGGAAATTTCAATATGTTTATTTATATGTTTCCTTTCAATCTTGTCTTGAATAAGGCATAAGCATGTAAGGGCATGACATTAAATTTCTACTACAATATTCTTCCCAAATTTGAATGAGAAAGATCACAAATCTATCTTATTTAGAGCATTGTAAGACAGAATTACAATACTAATTAATGAATGCAAGGCAGAAAAATTGATATGCCAATCGTACAAGAATTTGACAACTATTATAGTTGGCAAGAAATGAGCTTAATTTTGACTTTGAAGTTAAAGTTGTCATGTTTTCATGTTTCCATATAGTTCACTTCGTTTGTCAGATGACTCATATTCGTGTTCTATTGAATTTACCTGTCGTATTTTAGACGTGAGCATGGCCATAATTTTTTTCTGCGTCAAATAAATTTTGATATTTCCTAATTGTTTCATTTATAATTATTTCCGCAAAAACAAAACCTCACACGTCGAATGATAAACGGCCACAGATGGGTTGTTGTAACCTGGAGCAATGACTAATATTGTGACACAAAATGTTTGTCTTTTATCTTTTGATGCACTGTAAATCATTATCTGTGCTTTCAGCTTTTAGGAAAGGAATACACAAAAATATGCCGACGTTTTTGATAGTTTATTACGCGTTTTCGGCTTGTGACTTTGATAAATTTGTAAGCTCTTTAAAATCCTCTCTCTCTCTCTCTCTCTCTCTCTCTCTCACTCACTCTCTCTCTATCTCTATCTCTTTCTCTTTCTACCACACACACACAAACACACACACACCTCTTGAGTAAGAGGACTTTTTTTGGGGGGGGGGGGAGGGTCCCGAAATTTAAAAATTTGACCGATCGACATTCCGTTTCGTTGGGGGGGGGGGGGGGGTAGGTCATCTTTTTTAGGTCGTCCATTAGGATTATATTGGATATTGGATCTCCGTTTTGGGTCTCAGAACGGTCTAATGCCAGTCGCGCGTTGACAGAGGTGTGATCGACAGTGGCATAGCTATCTGCAGTGGGACACATGGGGGGGGGGGGGCATCTCCCCTACCCTCCTATACCATGTAAGCTGCTGCCTTGTTATAGACCGAAAGTTTCGGTCTTCGATATCGAGGGTTGTTCCGCTGAGACTACGTCTGCATGGTTCCAGGACCAGTTTCATTAAAATACATTCCCCTTACCAGACGGTCATTTCTGTCTACTGCATGCCTACTAGGTTCGTAATTCATTTCCCGATCAATTTCGCAGTAAGAACGGGGTCAGTCTCCCGAGCCCAATATCATCTACCCATCTTCCATCTATCATCCATCTGTCATCGCATCAATGTCCCCCACCCCCCCCCCCCCCCCCCCCCCCCACCCCTCCCCACCCGCCCAGGTTCTCCTCTCCGGGCGGACTATAATGCCACTTTGTGCGTACATTACGATGGCACGCTACTTAATCTGATCCAATGGGGTAAAGAAATTACCCTAGGGTTGATTTCTCGAAAGTCTTTCCGATCGTCTGGTGACTTGGTCCAGTTAATTGAGGCTCTGTCTTATATCGATCTGCTAATTTCTGACATTTACAGGACGGCCCCGGGCTCGCAGACAAGACAGGTCGGCAGAATCCGACAGTGACTCCGACAGTGACAGCAGCAGTAACTCATCCGAGGAGAACGACGACCAACCACCAACCACAACCACAACCGCCCCTACCACAACCGCCCCGACCACAACCGCCCCGACCACAACCCCTGGCACCACCGGCACCACACAACCACCGACGACGATGACCACCCTGGAGCCGGTCATGACGACCTGTGTGGACCGAGGCGACGGGATGCTGGTTTGCTCCCCCGTCTAGGACACGCCCTAGCTAGTTCATTATGTTAGGCCCACTTTGTAATATCGAATATTGAGGGGTGCTGAAAACCAAAAAATAGTATCAAAGCGCTTGTAAAATCGCAGAATTTGAAGAAAAACATGAAATACATATAATCATGTACATCTTCAAATTATATTACTGTGGGAAGAAGAATGTTTTAATGGATTTGTAGACATTTTACAACATTCAATTGGTTCTGCGACACTATAGTGCTCTGCGTCAGTTATTCATACACTTACCGAATTCGTAAATCATCACCGGACCCAACACTAACCCTTACCTCAAACCTAAGCCTCTCCTGAAACCCAATTGCAACCCTGACCCTAAACCTCATCGAATACCTATGACAAAATGAAACCCAGTGCAAATGTCGGTTCACCCTATACCTCACTGTCCTCACATAAACCGCGGGATGTGAGTTTAAACTCACATCTCCCTGGCATACCCGTGCTACATAAATATCATGCTCCCAATGTTTTCAGACAGTTTAATTCACAATACAATCGCTTGACCCTACATTTTCGTCGTTTTGTGTGACGTGTTACAGATAAAGAAAATGCCCTATATTCATATAAATATCCTAAACTATACACGTATAACTTTATTACATGTGTATTTTGCTATTTTTATGTACATTCGGTGATCACGGTATTTACAAATTGTTAGTCTTATTTATTGGACTTCATTCATGAAATATTATTTCAATCTGTTAGCATTTAAATAAACACGCTAGATTACACTTTTTCAAAGCAAACGACAAGTTGTCACTGGTTGATATTATACTATAAATGTTGGGATTTTCTCTTAATAGGTGTTTGTATATAATTGCTTGCTAATTGTAAGATTATTCTACGTGTATTATGTATGTATAAAGCTGCAACTTTCTTTAGAGAAAGTGGACGTTTGTGTTTGTGTTAAATAAATTGATAAAATAAGAAGACTAATGAAGATCGTTTGATCTGGTTGCTATTTTTCCCGATGCATAAACATTTTTTCAATGGGGCTTCATTATTTTTTTTCTCCAGAACTTAGAGATTTGGAGGAGACAGAAAGAAACAAGTGGGGAGGGATAGACTGAACAGGGAGGACAAAGAAAAACAAGAGAGCGAGAGATTGTATAGAGAAGAAGGGGTAAAAGAGAGGGGGCATAAAGGGGGGGGGGTAGAGAGAGAGAGAGAGAGAGAGAGAATATATACAGAGAGAGAGAGAGAGGGAGGGAGGGAGAGAGAGAGAGAGAGGGAGGGAGAGAGAGAGGGGGAGGGAGAGAGAGGGGGCATAAAGGAGGGGGGGGAGAGAGAGAGAATATATACAGAGACAGAGAGAGAGAGGGGAGGGAGAGAGAGAGGGAGAGAGAGGGAGAGAGAGGAGAGAGGGAGGGAGGGAGGGAGAGAGAGAGAGAAGGGAGAGAGAGAGAGAGAGAGAGAGGGGGGAGAGGGAGAGAGAGAGAGAGAGAGAGGGGGAGAGAGAGAGGGGGAGGGAGAGAGAGGGGGCATAAAGGAGGGGGGAGAGAGAGAGAATATATACAGAGACAGAGAGAGGGGAGGGAGAGAGAGAGGGAGAGAGAGGGAGGGAGAGGGAGAGAGAGAGAGGGAGGGAGGGAGAGACAGAGAGAGGGAGAGAGAGAGAGAGACAGACAGAGAGAGAAGCTGAAGAATGGGGCATAATAATAGATGAGAAAGAGAGCAATAGAGACGGAGAAAGGAGGAATAAATTTAATGTTTACATTGGTTATATATTTATTTCAAATTTCTTTAATATTTATCATATTTTGTACTATAATTTTTCTGGCTTCAAACAGAAACAAAAAAAATATGAAGTTCGTATAAACAGGAGTCTGCAGTAACCAGGAATACCACAATAAAACATTCCACGCATAAAGGGACCCGTCTTATAAAGAGTAGCCATTAAATCAGTCGCAAGTCCTTCAATCAATTTCAATTTCAATGTTTGTTTCTGTTTCCAACAAAACATTACAAATCAATTGAAATCATTAAAATAAATCAAGGAATACATATTGGAAACAATCTCAAGTTTGCAGTCTGCTATCTTGTATATATTGTTGCGATTTATAAGGTGTCAAGGCTAAAGAAACAAGGTACAATATATCAATCGCAAAGAAGTTGGGATTAATCTTTAATCTTGGGATTAAAACTTGTTATGAGACAGGGTCCAGAATTGAACTTTATCTTGAAGTGACAGAATGTCCAAAGTCAGAACAAAGCGGTATAATAATTATGTCAAGCCGTGCTTTTCATTAGGACTTTTTGTTTTGTTTTTCGCTTCGAATCTTTGATTATACCCGACTACAGGAAGGCCTGCTCGTCTGGACCGGTCCGCAGAATCATACAGCAGTGACGAGTCCAGCAGGTCATCCGAAGAAAGAGAAGGTCAACCACCGGTTCAACCGCCTACCACCACCGCCGCCACCACCACCACCACCACCACCACCACTGCCACACCCACCACGACACCACCGACAACTCCACCAACCATTACCACACCCGTCACCACTCCCACGGCCACGATGACGACGATAACGGTCCCCGTTCCGATCCTCATAACGAGGTGCGTGCAGCGCTGTGATCTTACGGTGGATTGTTTTCCAGTCTTCTCTACTGTTGGCCCGTAGTTCGTCGTCCTTTTCGTCATCTGGCTAGAAGAAAATGTGCAATAATTTTGTGTAGGCCTGTTTTTTTTTTTTATAAACAGGCTTTGATCGTTTTGTGGCGTAACCAGTCTTTTGAAAAGGTTAAGGGGCCATTTTGTCAACTTTGGTGGTGGGGTCGATGTATATAGTGGATTATTTGAGACAAGAAAATGTGAATACCTGTAACAAAAGTTGTTGTTGATGTACGTTGTTTCAGTTTTAATGGCGTGTGCCGTGTGTCATTCATTATTTTATGCATGACTTTGTAGTCTCGTTTTGAGTGAAATTCCGTTGGCTTTTATTTTTTTTTAGAACAAGCCGACATAATTATATACATATCCACCAGAGAAAGAAGAAAGGGTGCCCCCTCCTATCATTAAGATAATTACATTTTGAATGGCAGCTTCTATAATGTCTCTTTCTATCCATTTTATTTAACAACATTTCTTCAGCCTTAATCGATTTTCTGATAATTGACTTAATTGTGTCATTTAATAAACATAACATATAACATGTCTTGAAAGAAATATATCCTTCTTCGACAAACCTTAACTATTTCAACCGATTAGAAGTTTAGAACCATTCTAAATGTACACATAAAATTAGATAACAACTGTCTAGAAATGTTGATCTATTATTAGCTCTTTGATTTGTCTTGTCTGGCGCCCTCTTTTGTTTCGGTAGTGTTAGTTTTAAGAAAACTTCCCTTTTCAATGGTGTGAAGTGAATTTATCAATGATATTTAGGAGCTTCAGATCCAATTCAACTACTAGTATACGTTATATTGCCCTCACCGGCAGTACAAACATTTAAAAGCTATTTCGTGTATGCCTTTATTGAAAACAAACGAAAAACATAATCAATGTATATATATATGAACAATTTTCTCGTTATCGGTTAGTCATGGTATTAGTTGTTTTACATGTATATTTTGGATGCTATAGTTATAGGCCTGTATAACTATTATGAGTTACCCTTTTCAGATAATTTTTTTTTTTTTCTTCAGTTTTTATTCTTTTCTCTCTTGAAACAAATTATAATCATAGTACAAATTACAATCATCATTATGTAACTCTCACTGCAAATGTGATGACATTATAAATCAGTATAAATTTTTGTCTTACAAACGGCTTCAAAAGAAACTTACATAGTTAGTTCCTATACATCATATTTGAAACAAAAATTCATATTTTCAAAGAAAACATATGCAGTTGTATAATCCAATTTTTTTTTTTTTTTTTAACAATGTAGCAACTTATACTTCTTTTTATACTGTTGTCCTGAGAGAAAAGTTTTCTCTTTTTGTTAACCCTACCCTACCCTACCCGACCTCTCCCTTATCCCCATCCCCCCCCCCCCCCCCCCCTCTTAACCGGTGGACGACTGGCTCTGGGTTCCAATTGTTTGTCTAATACTCAGGTTTTCCCATTTAGAAAAATGAATAGTGAGAGTTCCCCTCATTGCTGCCAATTTCCTTTCTTCTACTTTATCCCCTATTATACTATTCTTTATTTCATTAAAAGAGGGTGGTTTTTTAAGTTCTCTATTTCTATAAATCAGATATTTAACAAGAATTAAAACATGATTCATTAATTGATATTTTCCTTTATTTCTCTCCTCTTTCCCAGACAGAATTTCCTCCAAACTACAGTTATGTATTTCAAAGTCTAAAAATCTCGTGCACATTTCCCACACTGATTGTGCAAATTCACAAGTATAGAATAAATGTTTATATGTTTCTTCATCTTTTTCGCAAAATGAGCATAAGTTAGTCGAGACAAGACCAAAACGGAAGAAGTGATGGTTTGTATATAATATATTATGTATAAGTTTGAACTGAAACTCTCTTAATCGACTGTTAAGTGTACACTGTCTTAGTCTTAAAAATATGTTTTCTATTTCCTTACAGGAAAAACCATAGTTCCTTCCAATTCTCTCAAAAACCAAAGGTTTAAAATCATCTTTCTTTATTAATTGTACATAAATTTGTTTTGATTTTAAATCAGCTATATTAGTTGTTTTCTTCCCCAAAGTGAAATCAGTTCCAGAATTATTTTTTTCTTCTCCCTTTCTAAAATTATTTTTCCAACAAACTGGTAAACAGGTATAAAAGTGCTTTATCTTTTCAATTTCATTTACTTCAACACCTAAATCGATAAAATGCCTGTCACTTTTTAGTTTACCATCGTTTTCCAGAATATGTTTTAATTTGTAAATTCCTTTGTCATACAACCACTTATCGTATATACAACTTCCTTTATATCGAATAAGTTTATTATTAAAAATTACCACATCACCAATGTCTATACTCCTTATATGTCTCGTATTCACCCAATCTTCTAATAAATCCATATAAAATTGTGGAGCTGTCACTTTTAATAAACTTGGTATATAGTTACATGAAAATATCAAATCTCCACCCACGTGTTCAGTGACAAAGTTAAAATATTGTTTCCATTTCATGTCTTCATCTTTGTTTAGAAGTTTTTGAATCCACATAATTCGCTGCGATTTAACTTGTGCAGAAAAATTTAACATCTTTAACCCCCCTTGGTTATAGTCTAAGAACATGGTGTTTCTATTGATTTTATCTGTTTTTCCTTTCCATATGAAATCAAAAGTTAATTCATCCAGTGAATCATAAACCCATTTTGGAACAGGAGTAAGTGACGCCCGATAAAGAACTTTAGAATAAATGTGCACTTTCAATAGTTGAATCTTACCCATAAGTGTTAAATCCCTTTGCTTCCAAAAATTTAAAAGTGTTTTTATTTTACTTAAGATTTCTTTATAATTTAGATCTTCTTTCTTGTGTTCATCGAGGGAAAAGAAAATCCCTAAAACCTTAAGAAAGTCAACTATTTCGCCAAAAGCAAAATCACAATCTAAACGTTGACATGAACCTAACCTTAATATTTTAGTCTTGTCGTTGTTTATTTTCAGTCCAGAAATTTTTTCGAAATCTGCAAATAATACTTTTAACCTATTAATTGATTTTTTATTGCGAACAAAAATTGTCATATCATCCGCATAAAGTACTAGTTTAGTTTCCTTATCTCCAAAATTAATTCCGTCCACCAATTTATCTATTCGTAATTTGTGTGCCATTACTTCAATACACAAGATAAAGAGGTACGGAGAAAGAGGGTCTCCCTGTCTTACTCCCCTTTCTACTTTGAAATAACCAGTGGACCCTCCTTCATTTAATACACAACTTAGAGTGTTCATGTATAAAACTTTAACCCACTTTTGAAAGGACGGACCGAAACCAAATGACGACAGAACTTTTTGAAGAAATTGATGTGAAATTGAGTCAAAAGCTTTTTCGAAGTCTACAGCTAACAAAAAACCAGATAAATTGTAACGGGATGTATGAAAAATAATATCATCTATAATGCGAATGGCCTCACCAATATTCCTCCCTTTCATGTAGCCCACCTGATCTCCCATAATGATCTCATTTAATACTTTCTTGATTCGCTTAGCCAAAATTTTTGTTAAGATTTTATAATCGACATTAAGAAGGGAAATGGGTCTATAATTTTTCAGTGAAAAGGGATCTTTCCCATCTTTAGCGATTAACGTAATTACAGCTTGTTTTTGAGACGATGCTAATTCTCCTAATCTATATGCTTCATTCAAGGCATCTTTAACTAAATCTCCAATATTCGGCCAAAAGGTACGATAAAATTCTGAAGAAAAACCGTCATTTCCAGGTGATTTGTTCTGTTTTAATTCTTTTAAGATTTCTAGGCATTCTTTATTACTTATAGATCCTTCACAGTATTCTCGAGATTTTTCAGTCAATTTCGGTAAACCTTGAAAGAAACTATTATAACAATTATCCGAGCACTCGTACTCTACTTTACTGTACAACATGCTGTAAAACTTCCGGATTTCTTCAGTTATCCTTTTTTCATCGCAGCAAATAGCACCATCTGAGGTTTTAATTTTTTTAATAGTACTCTTTCTTTTGTTATTTTGCATTAATTGATTGAAATAACGCGAATCCCTTTCTCCGCTTTCGTACCACGAGGCTCGTGATCGAATCCTAATTCCTTCATTTACATAGCTATAAACTTCCTTTAATTTCTTTTTTGTATTTTCCAATTTTTCTAAAGTATCTGCATTAGTGCTTTCCGTCAATTGTTGTTCTAAACATTGTATTTCTTTTTCTAAATCTGTTCTTATTGTTCTTCTTTGATCAGCCAATTTTTTTGAAAATGTTTGTGTAAAGCTCCGAATTTTCATTTTTTAAAAATCCCATAACAACCTTTTGTCTTTTATTTTAGTTTGCAATTCGTTTTTTAATTGACAAATTTTCTTTTTTAACTCTCTAACATAATCTTCATTTTCACATAAACTATTATTGAATTTCCAATATGACCCTTTTCTTCCATTCGTTTTATTGACTGTTTTGTCAAATAAACGTAAAAATATTGAATGATGATCAGGGGCAACAGATGGAATTATATCGCACTTCATAACCATTTCCTCTAGACATTCTGATATTATCCAGTAATCTAGTCTACTTTGCATAAAGGGATTGTTTTGCATATAAGTGAATTGCCTTTTTAAAGAATGCCTACATCTCCAAATATCCAAAAGCTGCAAATCTTCCATGAATTTTTCAAATTCTCGATTAAATCTTTTCGAAATCCTGTTTAAAGATTTCCCGTTATAATCAAATTCAATGTCCCTAATCATGTTAAAATCAGCACCTATTATAACCGGGTAGGTGTCTTTATTTAACTTAGCCAGATTATTGCGTAATTTTCGAAGAAATTGCAATTGATCACTCTCAAAATTTCTTGTTGGAAAATACACATTGCCTAAAATCAACCTAACACCTTGAAACTTACAGTCTATAAAAATATATCTACCCTCACTGTCTTTTAAGACTTGCAATATCTCAATATCTATCCTCGGCGCAATCAAAACGAGAACTCCTTTACTGTGATTAGAACCATGACTAAAATAAGTAGAACCCTCCCACATTGAAGCCCACTTGTCCTCACAATCGCTAGTACTAAATGTTTCTTGTAGGAAAACAATGTCCGCCCCTTTATCTTTACACCAGAAAAATATGCGTTCCCTTTTATCTCTGTCCCTGATCCCTTTCACGTTGAGGGAGAACAATTTACAATTAATCAGAACATCCATAACCTATCACACACAAGAAAATTTAACCCAGTCCCAGAGCCAATCCCCCACCTTAAAGGACCCCACGAAAAGCAAGAACGAAACCCCGTCATCTGGGAAAGAAACTGATACATGTAAGGCATGCAATATTGCAGCTCCCCGCCCCACCCCTCCCACTCTAACAATTTCTATTTAAAGGTAACATTCCCGAAAATAAGGCTATAAAGGATTATGTACCCTCTCCACATTGAAGGTGCTATAATAGCCTGACTTACAGAATACACAAAATAAATGCTTCCTTGCAATTATAAAAAAAAAAACATGTCATGTACGACAATCTTTGAAGGCTCTTGAATCTATTAATCACAAATTGATTAAGTATTCAGGAGTAAATTACATTTCAATAATCAACATATAAAAAGGGAACATCCTTAATAATCACAGGGTTGTAAACCAGTATCTTCCCATATAATAGCTTAACTACCAAGTAAATACCAACATGAAAAACATGCAGCTGGAAAGTACACCTGGGAACAACCAATGTATTTAAATTTGGATTTAGGATAAGAATACTCTCCGAAGCTACATCTTTTCTTCTCTTTAAAGGAGTGATGTATTTCACCCAATCAACAGTCTCACAATAGAAACTACAGACTCTTGGAATTTGCATGCATATAAAAAAGTTGTTTTTAAACAAAAAGATGACATTATTGAGACACATGTAGTTCGAAGCTTAAATACTTCTCAAACATAAGGAAATTTGACCTGGCAACAGCCCTGAAAAAAAAAATGTTCAATGGAATCGATATATTCAGCAGTGCTTTGCATGTTTTCTATGCTTTGATATTTGCATTAGTCATTAACAATTCAGGCGTGGAAACAGTGAGTCAGTGACTGACGATTTGTTTCTTACAATAATTGCAGCTTATGTAAGATAAATTGATTTGTGTATAATTGTTTTGAGCTACTGTATATTTTTATGTCAATTAAATTGATGTATTTTGAATAAGCGAATTAAATATGATTTTCTTGTTACTTAATAATTGTACTATTTCTATTTTCTATTTGATGGATTATGAAAAATCCAATCCCTATTCGAAGGGAAAGAGATGAAAAGAAAGGAAAATCAAAAAGAGGGATAAGGAAATTGAAATCAAGATAAGTGAAAAGTAGAGATGGACCGAATGTTAGAGAGTATCAGGGTGGAAACAGGGAGGGAGAGAGAGATCGAGAGAGGGGGATGAGAGAGAGGGATGATCTGCGTACGCGCCTGGTAAGAGTACCTCAAACCACTGAACACAGATGCGGAATTATTTTTTTTTGTACAGATCGGTGTGCTCAAGCCACTGATCTCTACGGTAGAGATCAGTGGCTCAAGCCAACAATCCTAACAGCAACAATTGATCTTAGACATATTTTAGTCGTTAACTTCAGTTGAGTACCCACATCTATATACACGCACGTACACAGACCGTGGTGGCCCTGGGAGGAGACAAAGCCTTCCCTCGAGATTTTGATACATTTTGCAGTAATTTTAGCAAGATCCGAGAGGACAGATGGAATGCTATGACAGTGATCAGCTGTCGATGTCGACCAGCCCTTCGACTATCGCTTCGTCTTCTATTAGTCCCTCGACGCCTCATGATCATGCTCAATACTCGCCGGGATCCACAAGCTCCAGCACCAGCCCGCTTGCCAGCAACCCCGACGCCGGTGGAATAGGCGATCGCGACCGAGAGCGCCCGTGTCTTGTGTGTGGCGACCGCGGCACCGGGTGCCATTATTCGGTATTTTCATGCGAAGGTTGCAAGGGTTTTTTCAAGCGAACAGTCCAGAAACAGCTCTTGTATTCTTGCAGAGGACGTAGTAACATGGAAGGCTGCTGTGAAATCAACAAAACAAGTCGGAATAGCTGTCAGTTTTGTCGATTCCAGAAGTGTTTAACAGCTGGCATGAAAACGGATGGTAATTATGCTTCAAATCAAAACTTAGACTAGATCTAGACCTAATTGATCTAATTAAATGTTAAATAAAAGAGAAAGTTAAAGGACAATAATTTTAGTAGGGTCTGAGTAGAGTCCAGAGATAACTTTTATAGTCTTATAGATCTAGGTCTATATCAACTCTAGATCTATAGGTGATGAAATGGTGCAAATTATATATTTTTTAAATAGGATTTTTTTTCTGTTCGTGTAAAACATAAGCTAGGATTTGTTTTGGATAATTAACAGTTTAGACTACACTCTTATCACTGCCTATTAAACCGGCTAATGGTAACGATACATTACTTTCTTAATCTTTATTAAAATCCCCAATATTACTGATGCTGTGCTTTCTCTTTATAGGTCTAGACTAGATCAAATTGCTATTAATATCGTTTTTCCATTTTTCAAATTAAGTATTGTTTCGAAATCATGAGAATGAGAAAATAATTATCTCCAGTGACCAACTTTATCTGTTTTATTATATTACATTGATCTTCAGCTGTACGAGAAGACAGGCTTCCCGGAGGCAAGCCGAAGCACAAGAAACTCCGCAGCGAAACGACCACTTCCAACCACGGCAGGATAGACTGTTCTCCGATGGGGTCAGAGGTCATTCAGTCCACGACCAACGATAATGCACAGACCGTCCATGATGACCTGACTGGCAGCGACGTCGAACCTTGGAGACCGACCGTGAAGGCCCTCATCGATGCCAAGCCCCATCTGATCCCAGATGCCTCTGCTGGTAGGTAGTCCCCATTGATTAAGCCAAGGCTTAGATAGGCACATTCATGGGGCACTAGAGGGCGCTTCGGTCGCGTACGAAAATCTGAATGGCCTTGCTGCGGTGGGTCGGCAATAATCAGCCCAAAACTTGGATATGGGAGGTTGGAAGGATATATCTTTTTTGTAATGTTATCCGGTCTTACCCTTAACCATCCTATGTTTAATCTATGTAGGAATAACATGCGAGTATGATAAGAGAAACATCGGGACCATTACTGAAGTAACTTTTAAAATATTAGCCTAGAAATGACCACCAAACGGAAAAAATTGACATTTTTTCCCGACAAATCTTCATAAAATCTGAGTTATAAATAATTCACATCTAGGTACACTAATACTAGTAATACAAATACGATTTTCTGAAAATTCAAGTATGATTTTTTAAGTTTCTTTCAAGTATATTTCTGCGCATTGCAGCGCCAATATTCTTCACTGCTTCAAAATCACCCTTGATTTTTTTTTAGCAACGAATTTGATACGTGGTCCATGAGTGTTCCCCGTTCCTTGCGTGTTGAAAGTTTGGTAATACATAGTTTGCATTGACTCGCGCATGAAAAAATGGTCAAAAACAAAATGTCAAGTGAAGAAATAAACAAGCTTTTGTATAGTTATAAGAGTTCTACCAAGGTTTCTTTGTCGATTTAATTTATTATATAGTCTCAATTAGAATTCAGAATTATCTCACTGAAAAGTTAAGAAACCGACGATGTTCTCGATCGTAGTTATTTTCATTTTGCCAGCAGCCGATCTAGCGTTGTTTGGGCAAAAAGCTAGACCGCTGCCTTCCCACCGCGAACCTTTCCGAGTCCCGCTAAAATGGCGCGCTGCGGAGCTCCGAAGCTGCGTTGGTATCGCTGCAAACTCTCAGCCGGCTAGCTCCCCACGACGGACCATTCGCGGTATGGTGAGAGTGTGTGTGTGAGGTATGATTTTGGATTCGAGAACGCACGTAACGCAACCGTGCGCGTCATTTAGAGCTTTCGAATGTGTACGACCAATTTTACATGTACGATTTTTAGTACAGATACTTGGTCAGTTTACTTCTTATATCTTTGGTTTTACAACATTTAAAAATATAATTTCTTCAAATCTGCTCCTGACTCGGTTCAGACTAATTGTCTGATGTGTTTTCAAGTAAATTTTTTGAATATATTTTTTTGCATGAATTTGCCTAGCTTAGATGCTGCTTGTAAGTGTCAGCTTGCAGGTGCACCATGTGAGAGAGAGAGAGAGAGAGAGAGAGAGAGGATTGAGGAGTCGTGAAAAAGGACTCTCGGTAATCTTTTTTGAGGGTGTGTAGTCTTGAAAAAGACTGTTGGTTATTTTTCTTAGCTTATAGTTCTAAGGAGAACTATACCGCTTGGAGAGGATGAGTGGCGGGAGTGGCTCAAACAGTCCTTTTCAGGACTACACACCCTCAAGAAAGATTACCGAGAGTCCTTTTTCAGGACTCCTCAATCCTCTCTCTCTCTCTCTCTCTCTTTCACATGGTGCACCCGCAAGCCTACTGTATAAGCCAAGGCTTGTTCCCATAGCCTGGCTGTATGCCACATTCAAAATCCTTTGAGGTTTTTTGTATACTAAATGAAAGATAATTAGTGATGAATTAGGAGGCTGCGCACAACAAAGCCGGTCCTAACCGCACTCACTGATCTTTCTGTTAATGGTTATGGATCCCCAAACTTTATTTTAAAACCTGTTCTTAAAAATTAATTTTTTTTACTTCTTCTCTGTGGTTAGTTTCTTCACTTTCTCTTTAGTTTCATCTCTTTCTATTTTGTGCATCATTCTGCACCATTTCTCTTTGTAATGGAGGGTTCTGTACAATGTTTCCTGTAGTACAACCTATACAGTATATTCCATTTTTTCATCAAGAATTAGAAAGTCTGTTGATACCATCATTGCCTATTGGTAGCGATACAAAAGGAACATATTTTCCTTTTGGGAATAAAATAAATGGATAAAAGTCATTGCTCAGAATCACCCTACTACTTTTTATTAATTATGTTCTTGTAACGAAAGTATATCTAATTGGTTTCTCTTTTCTTTAATTTTTTTTTTCTTTCATGGTTTCATTTAACCAGTTGATTACTGAATTCTCTCATTCCCATAGACTTAACACAGGGACCACCCGGTTCCCAGAAGCAATGGGTTAATAGTACCTTTTCGATTAATCTAAATTCTCACTATGTTCAGGACCCCCGCCAGGTATGTTGTTTTCCATGGATAGCATGCCAAACTTCATGCCCCCATCCCCTAACGAGTTCTCGCCCCCGCCCTACTCCATCCGCGGCTTCACGGTCCAGGACCTGATGCAAGGGGGCTTCCAAGAGCTCTACATGATCGTCAAGTGGGCCAAGTCTATACCGGGCTTCCGGCAGCTGTGTCTTGAGGACCAGATGGCGCTCCTCAAGGCCTCCTTCATGGATCTTAACGTCTTACGATTGGCTTACAGGTAACGGCCCTCTCAGAAGGAATCACTGTGGCTATGTACAAATAATTCCTCTGGCTCTTAACAGAGAGAGTAAATTATATTACATTGTTATGTTATTTATGTTATTTGTAGTTATTTGTTGATGATATGTTCATGTATTGTTATATTTCATACAAATGTGAGTCGTAAGATGATTTTCATGCCTTCCTTTTATTTGTGCATGACAGTAGTTAAGAAATTCAATTCAATAACTGTTTGGATATGCGAAGCTACTATTTAAAGCCCGATCACACCAATGAGACCAACACCAGACCGACTATAGAGTGGAGAAGTGTGACGTCATCAAAAATCTATTTTTATAATTTCTCAATTTTTTCTTCATATTCCGAAAGAACACCAAAAATGATGTCCAAATGTCGAAAACCAATTGAATATGTTAAGTATTGGCTGAGATATGACCATCTGAATGAATATATGTCCTATGGGAGCTCAGTGTTATATGCTCTGGCTCCTAACCATTAGGAGCCAGAGCATATAACACTGAGTTCCTATGGGGAGTATATTTATTCAGATGGTCATATCTCAGCCGATATTTAACATATTCAATTGGTTTTCGACATTTGGACATTAATTTTGATGTTCTTTCGGAATATGAAGAAAAAATTGAGAAATTATAAAAAATAGATTTTTATGACGTCACAGCTTCGGTACTCTATAGACTGAACACAAGAATTGGTCAGTTTAGCGTCGGTTTGGCAGTGTGACTGATATATTAAAGTTTGATTGAATCTGTGAAATTTCATTTCCCATCATAACCAGAACTCAAGATTAAATCTATCAATAGGAAGAACTAGGAACATTCGTTGAAAATATGAGTCATCCATCGAACTTTGGTGTCAAGACCTTAATTTTTGCCAGGAAGGTCCACAAGGGTTTGAAACATATAACAGCCTCAGGTTTCAATTTTCGCATTTTTCTGCTTTTATTAAAACCAACTTTATATCCGGGTGGACTTGCTTTTTAAGAACAGTCATGAAAAAAATTAATCAGAAGGGAAAAGTGAAAACAGTAATACAAATGGGATACTTTATTTACATGTATGTCACCCCCCCCCCCTGCCTGTTCCAGTAGTCTGGCTACGCCAGTGCCTGTTGACAATTTTTCTTTGATTTTCTATCGTATCTCTTCAATCCTTATAGATCTGTAGATTGTTTACCCATGCTCCAATTCACAACGAAATGTATGCTGACGATATCAGAATGCAAGGACCTGGGATGGGGAGATCTGATCAACGCGACGGTCGAGTTTTGCAGCACTCTCCAGGACCTGAGTCTTGACGTGACCGAGTTCTGTATCTTGAATGGCCTTGTAGTCTGCTTTCCAGGTTAGTACATAGGGAAATCCTTCCCCTTTGTCCGACACCATTTTGTCTCGTCATAATTTATTGCAAGTTGAACAAAATTTGTGAACTTATTTTTGTGTTTTTCACCAGTCAAATGGCAAAATGAAAATTGAAAAGAAAAGGAATATGAAAAGAAGATGCTATGTACCCCCTCCCGCACTCGTCCTTTTCAATGGCTATGTTGATTTCCATTTGGATGAGATTGGTGCCCCCCCCCCTATCTCTGTCTGTCTGTGTCTGTCTCCGTCTCTGTCTGCCTCTCTCTCTGTTTCTGTACTTCTATCTCACTCTGTGTGTGTCTCTCCCTGTCTCTCACTATTTGCCCGCCACTCTCTCTCTCTCTCTGTCTGCCTGTCTCTCTCTTTGTCTCTGTTTCTCTGTCTCTTGTATTGCTTCTTGGCAAAGGGCAGCCATTTGACATTAAAAATAGGCTCTAAATCTTATGACAATAATTAGCAAGTCTTACAAGACATACAAAAATAACTGCAGGTTTTGTTTTTGTTTTCAATTCTTTTCTATTTATAGGTACTTCTACTGCTTATAATGTCTTTTCTTATGGTTTCATTGGGCTTATGTTTTTATAGATATATGAACTGTACATCTTCATTTACAAAAATCTTAGTGTCGAGTAAACATGGTGTTTATCTTCTTGTCCATGTCACTAATGAAGCAAACAAATAATTGTGCTGCCTTGTTTGATCAAAATGTAATTGTTTATCTGATGAAGCAGAAGAAGAAATGAGAAATGGGGGAGGAGAAGAAGAAGAAGAGGAGGAGGAAGAGGAGATAGTTAAAAAAAATGAATTTATGAAATATTTGTTATAAGTTTGAAAACCCCACCAAGCTTTATTAAAAGAAGTCAACAAAACAAAGTGAACTTTAAAATAATTTTCCTGGCATTGATAGGAATGAGGATGTGGGTTTATGTGCCAGAACATCACTGATATCCTTTGGCAAGACTATATTTGCCACTCTCCACCTGGGTGTTAAATGGGTACCTGGCAAGAATAAATTCAGGCTAGCCTGGATTGGGGTGATATTGGAGCAGCTTGAGCACCTTGTATGGTGAATATGAGTGCTGTAGAAGTATTCATTTTTCTTCTTCTTCTTCTTCTTCTTCTTCTTCTTCTTCTTCTTCTTCTTCTTCTTCTTCTTCTTCTTCTTCTTCTTCTCCCTCTTTCTCACCTCCTTCTCCTTCTTCTCCTCCTTCTCCTCCTTCTTATTCTTCTCCTCCCCCTCCTTTTCACCTTCTCCTTCTTCTACTACTCCTCTTCCTCCTTCTCCTCCTCCTTCTTTGCCTCCCCATCCTCCTCATTTTCCTTCTCCTGCTTCTTCTTTTTCCTCTTACTGATATTTCTTATATATTTCTGTAATTATTACTATTATTATTATCATTATTACCATCATTGTTACTATCATTAAGCAATTTTCCCATTTTGATTTATGCATATACATGTATTACCACCCCAGATGCTCCAGGCCTAGTCGAAGTGGACAGCGTGACCGAGCTTCAGAAGTGCTACCTCGATTGCCTGCAGAAGTACATCGCTTCGGCCTTCCCCAATGAGCCCAAACGCTACGGCAAGATCCTGATGCGGTTACCCACGCTGCGCAAGGTCAGCGCAAAGGCTATGGAGCAGTTCATGGGTCTCAAGCTGGCTGGGAAGATCCAGGTCCCGGGTCTGGTGGAGGAGATGATGAACTGTACCATCTAACAGGGGGCCATTTCACAACACTTGTCATCAGTGACAAATGACAGTTTTTGTTATAAGCTACTGAAATCCTTGCTTCTGATTGGCTATCAGCGGATTTGTCACTGATTTTTGTCATTTGTCATTGAAAAAGGGCTTTGTGAAACGGGCCCCTGGTTTAATGTTTTTATCTGCAGAACTGCAGCCGGAGATTCTAGCTTGTGACACTGGAACACCAGGGGGGTGTTTCTCAAAGATTAAAATCAAATTTAAGTTGGACTTAACTATGGCACGCCAGTTATGTAGCCAGTGGTTGTTCTCGCCATTATGATCTTTGGATAATTTTTTTCTTTCAATCATGAATTATCAAAAAATATAAACTCTGTAGATTTGTGACCACGATTTTTACGTCCCTTGAGAGACCAGTGGCAGTAAATAGTGAGAGAAAACAGTGGCATGAACAGCCTGCCATAGTTAAGTCCAACTTAAAGTTAATCTCATTTTTTGTGAAACACGCCCCTTGTCACTGAATAGGTGTGTGCACATGACACAGGAAACTGCAGATTTACCTAGGTGTTTTTGTAATGTGTAAATGAATGATAAGATATATATTGAAGATGTTTATGTCACTCTAAAATTGTGTTGTTTGTATATCCCTGTTTGTGTCTGGAAAAATGTGGCGGCTGGAGATTCTCGCTCGTGCTACAGGAACACCATCTCTCCCATGTGACCAGTCGCTTGCCCTATTGACCTTGCTTGACCTGGTCACTTCCAAGACTTACACCGTATGTCCTAGGGAGAGCACTGTCTCTGATCGATCACTCACTGATATACCGTTTGAATGGTCACTCATAGGAATCACCTCATCTGACTGGTCACTTTCCAGATTGACCCTGTGTTTCCCGATTGACCTTGTGTTTCCCTATTGACCTAGCTCCATTGTGACCTGACATTTGCTTCTGCAACAATTGTTCCAGGCTTTATTTCTTCATACAGCTGTAGGTATATTGTTAGTTTTGCCATTGTGTTATAGGTTAGGTTAAAGGTAATACAAAGTTTTGGTAATATTTCAACAGGATTGGATTATGAAATTTAAAATTTTTATTATCATAGTGAAACCTAGTGTTAGAATAGCAACTTTGTACAAGTAGTATTTAGCTTTTTTTCCCTTTCCTTTCTTACTGCCACAGAAAACAAACTGTTTGATCAAATCCATCAAACAGTAATTAAACAAACAAAGAAAAACAAAAGATCTATCCATGTTTTTATGCAATCTGATGTAATAGCACCTGCACACATGTGAACCTTCTTATTTTTAGAGACTTTTGAGAATACATCAATAATACATATTATGTATTATGACAATAATGATGATGTTACTACATGTGTGTGATTCTATATTTACAAAGGTCATTTTGTCAACATTTCACACTGACTACACAAATAATACTTTTGCGGGAAACTTGACCTATAAGTATATCTACGCTTTAGAATACAACTCATTCTTAGATCCTTATCAAATGATAGTGAAACACGGTCATGTGTGTTTCATTTACTGAGACTATTCCATGTTTTTTTAAATGAAAAAGCGTGCAATAGTTTCCAGAATTATCCCAGAAAGTTACGGTTTGTGTGTGTGCTTAGAGGTTTAAGCGAACTTATACTGTGTGTGGGCCTATACTTTTATATCCTTGTGCTTTAAAGATGAAGTTGAGTTCTGGTCATGCAATTGCATTGTGAAAGAAACCGTGTGGAATCAATCAGAAAAGGTTGATCATGTAGCATAATTAAGTTTTGTGTGTACTGCAAGGCTCCGGAGTCATCAAAATGACTAGAAATTTGGCCCAGTCTTGGTAAAGTAACACGCATAGTACACAGAAAGATGTATACGGGGCTTCATTTTTAAGCTGCTACTTGTCATATTTAGAAAATGAAGGCCTTTGAACTTAAAGAGCCAAACTGAAATTGAATTAAGAAGGATGTGTAATGTACCAGAGTAATTTATCACAATGCATTACAAAAATTGACAGCTGCATAATTTTACTGCTAAAAATTGAATGTAGAGATATATCATTAGCTTTCATCTTGAATATTAAAGGATTAATTCCTCATGTTTTCTATAAATGGATCAAAATATAAGACTGAACAAACCTTTCATACAAACTGCCAAATTAATTGTAGGTTGAAAACTTGAAATTATGAAAAAATTGTCTGTTATCATTTGGCATTTTGAAATCCTTGACTGCCACATTGTTTTCAGCCTACATGTCCATAAATATGCATGTATTAACAGTAGCAATCCATTTTTTGTGTTTTTTCTGTTTTACCTAAGTGGACAAAGAGTTGATACACTAACTTTGCATCTGATCAACTCAATTTTCTTGCCGATCGAATAACTACTCAAGAACAAAAGGCCTACCATGCAAGTGATGCAACTAAATGTATATATTGTCCCAATTAAATATAGGTAAAGTTTAAGGATGTGTATGTTTTGTTTAAATGCTTACTCTTATATGATCTTATGAATGTGAGTTGTCCAGGGGGGTGATGGGGGATACATGTAGCAGCCCTGATACACTCTCTCTAACAAGTAAATTGCTTATATGATATGCCCTTTCCCTCCCTCCTGCAATCGCTTGAACAGTACTCCTAGCATGAGTAGAATCATGATTCATGCTTAACATCATGTTTGTGACTTAATTTTGTCTTTTTATCAATTTTTTGTTTTTTTAGTTGAATCTGTGTGACTATGATACATATTTACATATATACAGGGTTAAAATGTATAACTATTTTTATTGTGAAAAATATTTTTAATATGCCAGACATGCTAGGTTGTGTAATCATGATGTAGACTTTATATTGCATTTTCAATAATTGTTTGTAATTGTTTTGTGAAAAATGATATTGTAAAATGGCAGAGATGCCTGATCATGTGATTGTAATGTTAAATTTGTTGCACTCTCAGCAATGTCTCTTTATTGATCATATTGAAAAAAAGAAGAAAAAAAATCAAAGTTTATTCACTTGATAAAAAAGACTGAATATGTACATTATGTAAGTATACATTTAAATCAAACAAAACAATACAATGAAATATATACTCAAATTATATAAATACAGAGTAGGAGAAAAAATACAAGACAGAGAACAGGTCGAGTGAGGCCCGACGTTAAAGCTTGAAAATCTTAGTAGTGCCGGCCCCAGCTAGAAGAAGAAGAAAGAGATGAAGAAGGAGAGAGGGAAAATATGATTTGAGATAAGTTGTGCTTTTGTAGATATTTTATAATTTTTAAAGATCTTTTGCTTCGAAATCTATTATTTGGTGTCGCCCCAGTTTGTCTTTGTTTTATTATTCAGTGGGTTAATTAGTTTGCTCAATATTTGACTTAATCATAACTTAACATTCTACAAATGTTGCTGAAGCAGCTTATAATTTGTTAGTGCTCTTTTTGAGTTTTGTGTTCATTTTTATAATCAGTTGTACTATTTCTTTATTTATTAAGGTGATGGTTTACATTTTGAAAATAACATTTTATTTTTTCTAAATTCCCAAATAAATATTTTGTTATATTAAAATGGGTATTTATTAGCTAGTAGCCTATCAGCTGAAACCATGTCAAGTGACACTCAACATTTTGATACATGTTTGTGTCCGTTGGTTGTATTGTTTTAGCTGTGCGCATCTGATACGGAAGCAACCTGAATACAATTTAGAGGGCCAAGGATCAAGGCGTTGGATTACAAATATCATCAAATTTATATTTAAAAATATTTTGTATATAAATTCAGTGAGTTGATTAGTTTGCTCAATATTTGACTTTCATAACTTAACATTCTACAAATGTTTCTGAAGCAGCTTATAATTTGTTAATACTCCTTTTGAGTTTTGTTTTTAATTTCTATTATTACCGGTAGTTGTATTATTACTTTATTCGTTACGGGATGTTTTACATTTTTTAAATAGCATCTTTAAGTACCCATTTTAATATTTTGTTACATTAAAATGGGTTTTCATTAGCTAGTAGCCATTAGCTGAAACATGTCACTCCAAATTTTGTTTTAATTATGTACACGACCATGCGATATAACAACCTTTTTGTGCATGAAATAGACTGCATGTATACCTTTTTTGCATTGTCTTAGCTGATATGAAGGCAACCTGAAGGGGTAAGGCATGAGATCACAAATGCCCTCAATTTTATATAACAGATATTGCATACATTGCCTTGTTCAGTAAAACATATTTACTTCCAAATTCAGAATTTCCCTCTTGCCGTTATATTGCAACCTCGGCCTGTGACCTGTATGAAGTATAACATCACTCTGGGAATTCTGAATTTCTTTGGTTCCAATATTTTGGTTTATTGATCCCCGGAGCATGCAATATTTGTATAATATTTGTATGTAATATTGATATAAAGTCCTGCTTTAAAGTAATCTGTATCGAGCATTGCCAACTTGAGCCTCACAAACTTAATGTTACAATTCTATATGTTCAAATGCATTTGAAAAATGAGTATAATATGAATATGTGCACATGATATGCATAAAGCTTGCAGAAATTACCATTACATGTATACAAATTTACATGGATATATACATTTGTGTTACATTATAATGTGTGTACTAAATTGACAATGTCAGTGTTACAGCACAGTCTTATATTGTGGGGCATCCTTGTATAATTATGTATACAGCACAAACTCCCTGTTATTACACACAGTACTTCTTGCAACAAAAAAGAATTGTTCAAAAAGTTGACGGTTCATGAGATGTATGACTGTATTGCTGTTGCAAAACTCAATTTTTTAGAGAATTGTGATTTGAGGATACCATATGAATGGATTCTATTTTTAGCAATTTGAAATTGATTATGTAATGTGTTTCTAGGACAACTAAATTAACAGCTAATTTGTTTAACCTGTGAAATTTTGGAAATGAAATACTTGATAATGCCCTGTTGATGAACTCAATTCATAAAAATTATCACTCATTGTAAATTTGTCATGTTTTCACTCACCAAACAAGTGCAATTTAAATTCATATATTCGTCGCTGTTTTCACGAAGTGACGGTAGTGAAAAAAAATTGCATTCAGTTTGCGTGACGATTTTCCTCACTACCGTCACTTCGTGAAAATAGGGACGTATTAGCCCGTGCGATGATATCATTTAATGTGACGATACACTTTAAATAGGTTTTATTCCTTGTGGTAAATAAATGCTTTTAATGGAATATTTTGTGATATTCTGTGGAAAAGGTACATTATCATGTTTTTCTTTTTTCCGTTTCCTTTTCTTTTTCTTTTGTGGACTAGGCCCTGGGCATGGTAAAAAAAGACTTTATATATTTTTAAGTTTGTTGTGGAGGATGGTAATGCATGAGAGTGTAAAAAGTAGGGGGGAGAAAAAGAATGAGAGAGAGAGAGAGAGAGAGAGAGAGAGTGAGAAGGGAGAGAGAGAAGGAGAGAGAGAGAGAAGGGAGAGAGAGAAGGAGAGAGAGAAGGAGAGAGAGAGAGAGAGAGAAGGAGAGAGAGAGATAGGGAGATAAGGGAGAGAGAGAGAGAAGGAGAGCGAGGGGGATGTAATGGAAGAAAAGTAAGGGAGAGCTTTGAGAGACAGATTTAAAGATATATAGTGAGTGAGAACAAGATAGGACTGGAGTGTTTTTTTTTCTTTCTGTCTATATCTTTCTTTATTTCATCCTTTTACCTAGCTTCATCAATAATCAAAATAACATTTTCCCAGTCTATTTGTGTCATTTTCCAGTGTCTTATAGAAAACATTGAAGTTCAAATTACATAACAAGCTACTAGAACATAACGAGCTTCCCTATCTCATTCAGTCTGTGAGCAACTAAAAAATATAGAGCAACTAAAAATAGGAAGTCCTACAAAAACTTCATATAAATTAGCAATGGGGGGGGGGGGGGTCCTAGAAGTTCATTAATTGGCTTCATCTCGAGAAGAAAAAGGTAAATTATGTATCAACACTTGCATTTTAGGAAATACTGGGAAATTCCCGTTCTTTGGTAAGCTCAGAAATGGCTTCCTCACTCCTTAAAAAATATCTTTGATAGGAATATTATTGGCCCTCGAAGCAATAAATTATGAAAATAACCATGAGAAGAAGAGGAAGAAGAAGAAGAAGAAGAAGAAGAAGAAGAAGAAGAAGAAGAAGAAGAAGAAGAAGAAGAAGAAGAAGAAGAAGAAACAGGAGAAGGATAACGAGAAGAAGAAGGAGAAGAAGAGGAAGAAGAAGAAGAAGAAAGAAGAAGAAGAAGAAGAAGAAGAAGAAGAAGAAGAAGAAGAAGAAGAAGAAGAAGGAGGAGGAGGAAGAGAAGAAGAAGGAGGAGGAGGAGAAGAAGAAGAAGAAGAAGGAGAAGGAGAAGGAGAAGAAGAACTTGAAGAAGAAGGAGGAGGAGGAGGAGAAGAAGAAGAAGAAGCAGGAGAAGGATAACGAGAAGAAGAAGGAGAAGAAGAGGAAGAAGAAGAAGAAGAAGAAGAAGAAGAAGAAGAAGGAGAAGAAGACGATGAATATAAGAAATTCGAAAAGCGGCAAAGAATCATTTCGCCCTCAAAGACCCTTTTCGGCTTACATTCATAGAGGGCGCTCAACGACCACTCTACAAAGTCACTCACACTTTGCGAGAGCTGTGGACAATTTGAATAGGTGGCAAAGAGATTATTTTTCGATGTCAAAATATAAGAAAACCCTCGACAACTATTAATTCAGTAGTCAAACTATATAGATGGGCAGTTGAAAGCAGCAGAATTGTGTTTTTTAATTAA